AAATCGAGGGTACTGAAAGTTTCGTCGCGATCAGGGGCGTCGCCACGGATTTTTGAGTGGGGGGAGGGGTCGGGTTTCCGGTCTTCGTCTTGATGGTTAGGGGTGTTTTTAGCCACACTCCCGGTTTTTTCGTGTGCCCGGATAAAAACCCCGGCGCGCAGCGCCGCGAAAGCAGCGGTATATCTTATTGTACATCAATTTTGCATCGTGCATAAAAATCAAGCAGAGGTCACCTGAGGTCAGGTCACAATGTCATGTCAAGTTCAGTTTTAATGCCTCTTAAAACTGCAATCTTGTCATTCCTATAGATTATCTCCTGACTCCTATAAGTCTGAAATTTGGTGTAATGAATGGGATTTTAAGTGCCAACAGTTCATGAATCTGGGATTTTACATCTGAGAAGCGAAGTCAGGTCAAATAGGTGTGTGACCTCACCAATCATGATAAGATATGGGAAAAAGCACGATGCCCTCTGCTTTGAAAGAATACCTATGCTAAAAACGCTAGAAACTTTTGTAGCCATGGCACCTTGTTCATTTTAGAGATAATGTGCAGCTAATGACCAGTGGTGACTGAAATGGTCAGTCATTAGGTCATCAAAGGTCTCTAACACATTTTCGACAACAACTTTTGATGGAGACGTTGTAGAGCGATGACAGCAACTGGAGTGTGTTCAGCTCAGTAACACAGATCGATCCATATGCAGCAGGTTCTTTTCCGGTCAGGTCATGACCTTTACCTGATGTCAAGTTTTCTATTCAAGTTTTTAAGTTCAAATTGTAAGCCATGCGACGTGTTTTGACGAAACAAAAACGATGGTGATAACATGAATATCATACACATTCACTGAATCATAGGTTGTTACAGAACAAATGTTTCGGCAAAATCCGTCCGTTTAGCTGTCTGGACTCTATGGTACACAAGCCATAGACCCGAAGTCATATCTGAGGCGAAGTTGGCGAAAGAGCTTTAAAAAGCTATCGAATACGCTTTCTGTGTTGCTGTAGCTCTTATTCGTATTTTGCGGGTCGCTAAGGTAAAACGTTTACCAACGTAACGCATAAGGCAAACTTTCGGCCCCTGATCGAGATAGAGTTTCGCGGAAGAGCGAAAATGCTGCCCGTGATGAGAGAAAGCCGATGATGCCCAATTTCAAGGTCTTGGTCGGGTCATCTTAGGTCAACGCCCAAAAGTAGGAAAAATCTGGCCGCCTGCTAGAACTTAGTGAGCCGTAGCTGTTATCGGGGTCCCGAGTACGAGTTCGATGTTAGTCTTGAACAAAGATGATGACTCCATGCATTTTGGGTAGATCAGGTCGGGTCAGGTCAGGTCAGGCCACCCACTCTAGATGGCCGGCTTCCTGCCGGCCATCTAGAGTGGGTGACTGACAACCACCAACGATAGCTTCGTAACATGTTACATATTATACATAACCATCATTTATCAAAACTACTTAAACGGTTCAAACGGGCACAAACTCGAAATCAGCCCCAAAAACCACACTTGTAAGTGGAAGCAAATAAAACTCAAAAAAGTTAACCAAGGTCATCCATATTCGAATCAGGGCCATTTTTTTTTTAGAATAGGTGTAAAATTCATTAACTCGAGGTCACTGGAAGTTTCGTTGCAATATACCTACTCCTTTTTGCGCGTCTTATTAGGAAAGCCCCAGAGGGATCCACCATCTGACCCCATTTCCCCTATGCATGGCAGGTCCGAGGGTAGCAGTGCTGAGGCTAGCCAGGTACCTCGTAGTTACTGATACGTCATCCGACGAATCGACTGCAACCATTATTTTGACAATCAGACGAACGCTTGGTTCAGTTTTGACGCGCTCGCTCATTTGAGGGATAAAAAGGGACTAAAATCATATTGTCATGCTGATGTTCTAGCCCACAGCTTATTGACCTATAGGCAATGGGGACTAGGGAGCTCTTGAAGCGATTCTGAATCTGACGTTGTATTTGTTGATGTTGCTGACGCCAACTTCCCTGACATGATGATGATAGCTAAAAAAAAGCATACTCAGCATCGCCAAAAGTGGGGGTCGACCCCCGGGTTCTGACGAGTGGGGTGGGGGGGGGGGTCGTGACCCCCCCGACCCCCCCGTCGGCGACGCCCCTGGTCGCGATCGATCGCTTTTTGCGCGAATTATTCGCGAAAAACCGGGAGGGGGTCCGTTCGACCCCGCTATATGTAAGTGCGAGTGTTAAATCACTAAAAATCTGTCTTTAAAGTAAAAAAGTTTATGCCAATCCTCGAGCTGAGAGGCCAAAGTTGTGCAGTTGGAGTAGGTACTTTAACACATCATGTAGGTATGTGCTTACATGCATGCATACATTCTCGAATTAAACATCAATAATACCCACTAAAGGCATATTGCTCTTTGGAACGTCGCTTTCGGTATGGGGATAGCGTGGGTCTGAGCCAGCTGACACGGATGACACCCCCTCAGTGGGGTCCTGGCATGGTCTGCGTTGGATCACCCACCACCACAATGGGCGGTTCCTCAAAACCAGCGTAATTCAGACCTGTGTGAGGCGGCGACGTGAGGCACGCAAGTGCGGGACCGTCCCCATGCCGTGGCGGTCCGGGTCAGGGGAGCAGCCCCCTCCCCGCGCGGCGGGCGGTCGCCCATTCATCCGCGACCCCATCCCCATGACTGAGGGGTTGACAGAGGGCAAACATCACGTATTTAAACTGGGCAAACAGACGGTGTTCTACGCTAGGGACATCTCGCGGCTGTGATTTACGATACTGCTTCGCCAAACTGCCTTTAGATGGTGGGTCAGTCGGTGTCCGTCTGCTGCTGTGCGCCGAGAATTAGCCCTATAAATTACCATGAATTACACCTTCTAGTGTGACGATACAGTCACATTATCATATAGGTCGCGTTAAGATGCAAATGAAGAAACGACTGCGTTGAAAAAATATGTCATTTAATCGAACGCTGAAATGCTCGAAGTGCTCGCTAAAAAATGAACTCGCTAACTGAGCCCTCAAGGTCGGCTGCCGTGTTGCATTGCATTTAAGCCAAAAACGCGGGCTGGGTGTAAGTTGTCGAGAAACAATTTTTGGCCTGAAGTGTTCTCTAAAGTATTATCTACATAGATCCAGGGAACATATTTGCTATCTGTGATGGCTTAGGAGATATTGAATCGTAAGTCCTCCGGTGTACCCTGTTTTGTGGCGGCCCACGTGTTAAAAGCTGCTGAACATTTTTACTTTGACCAAAAAACGCGGGCACAGTTTTGTCTGTACGAAAATGACTTTTGTTCTATCGCATTCCACGTGGGCTGAAAATTCAGAAACCAGGGAACATATTTGCTACGACCAGTACTTTTCACGATTCAGACCGAAACGTGAAAAAATAGCCCCAAAACCCTATGACGGGCACGTCTCCGCGGCGCCCGGCCGCGGGTCGCTAGTTCCCGAAACGACACACCATGCGTGTAACAAAAGGTATCTGCTACGCCTTCTTATGCGCTATCTTTCTTATGAATATTGCAAAAAGGAGTTTCATTATTTGTGAAATATTCAAATGACATAGTTACGAAACAAAACAAATTGTTTTTAAAAGGGCATTGTTCAATGATCAATAAAAATACGAAAAGAATCAACTCATTCTGCCCATTGCATCTCTAAAAAGCCATGTTTTATGATACAGCGTCCTGCAACGTCTTTTATCCTGTTTGATGACGTCATACACAATTTTATTCAGTTTTTAATGTATTTTATTGTTAAAATCATACTTTTTTGAACCAAATTTAGAGTTTTAAAGAACCAACAAACATTTCTTGTAAGTTTTCCTCAGAAATCTTGTTAAAAATATGCAAATTACGTCATTGCTGTTTGTGTATTTTGTTGATGCATTGTTTCTGGCGCATTACAGACAATTCTAGTTGTCGTTTCGCGTGGATAGTTCAGTTGAGTTTGATGAGTGTTTCTGGGTGTTTTTGGATTATTTCAGCTATTTTAGCTTTTATTTTGCCTCTATTTTAGGAAAGTGGGATATTCCAGGCCTAATTTCAAGTGTTGCAATGACAACTGTCCCTAAAGCGGCGTGCTCTTTAACACAGTTAAACTTGCTCTTTAACACAGTTAAAGAGCAAGGTAGCCGCCCAGCACGCAAAGCAAGATGTGTGAAGATAATTATAGGGAGATACCTATGATCGAATTTGCGCAGGTGAGATCTGATTGAAATATTGATCAAGTAACGCCCAGAAAAGAATTTTTTATTTACTTCTTTACATGTTCAATTATTGTATTAACTCTAAACCTTGATTGGTGGCAACTGGCAACTTTTGTACAGCGGGTTCGGCATGCACAATGATTGTAAATTGTTGACCAGACTGAGCAGCCAAATCAACCTGATTTCCTTCAAATACTTTCTGCCTGAGTAGGCTGATACCATCTGAATCCTGAAGTTGCTGGAATGCTGATAGGAAAATTCTAGGGCTCACTGGAGCTCTCTGGTGCTCTCAGGTGGTGCTGGAACTTGCCCTGAGAAAGCCCTACAGCACCTTATTTTGATATTTGTATGCTTTTTCTAAACCTGATTAGTGACTAGTGAGTACCTACAAAGAGTAAAAATAAGAAAAAGAACATTCACAGGGGGCATAAGCAAGACACTGTATCTGTTTTTGTTTGTGCAACCAACTAAATAAAAACATTCAAAGCTCCATTTGGGAATAGATAGAAAATGAAAGTGGAAAGCTCTGTCCAGAATTTTGATTACTTGTAAAATCATTTTCTCTAGCAGAAATGATGTGAGGAACATTTGTGGCGATGTAGCTAATAAAGAGTTTCTCGTAATATCTGGTATGTAGCAGATTCAGCATTTTTCCCAGCCCTGCTGTTCACGGAGGAGGATGGTCCGTCGTCATGTAGGGGGCCGGTCTGTTCCATCTTTCGAAAATTAGTTGCTGGTGGTACGAGGTGTGCTATTGCGTATTAACGTCTTGACACTGACAACATTCCTCTCATTTTCATGTAAGCAGTACAGAAAATACAAGTGTATTTCCTAAAAAGCACAAAGTAAAAAAAAAAACGAGACAAATTAATGAGCCACCCTAAACCCGCACAAACATTGAAGGTGCTAGGTTCTGAAAGGTTATCCCTTGCGGATTCGCTGCAGGTAGTAGAGCTTCGACCGCACCATGGCGATGCTTCGGCCAGCACTTCGGCTGGGCTGTAAACCAGATGAGAGGCCATCAATGGAACAATTTTAACATCATACGGGGAACAACGATGGTTGTCAGCATAAACAATTAGGGCATGTCATAGCACAGCATAGGGCATGATGCATGCTACTATAGCAACAGGCGCTCAGTAAGTAAGGAGATATTCCAGGGAAGTAGGTTCTCACCGGAGACTCCGTAGGCTCCAGGCACCAAGCTCGAGCTGCCGGTCCCGGGCACTGGGTGCGGCTGCAGGGTGCTCTCCATCGGCTGAGCTGTAAACCAGATGTGAGACCATCAATGGAACAATCTTAACATCATATGGGGAATACCGATGGTTGTCAGCATAAACAATTAGGGCATGTCGTAGCACAGCATAGGGCATAATGCATGCTACTATAACAACAGGCGCTCAGTAAGTAAGGAGATATTCCAGGGAAGTAGGTTCTCACCGGAGACTACGTACACTGAAAACCAAAATGAATCTCCTGATGCCCTGATCATTGAAGTCTATACCCCAATTATTCCCTTTTGATCTCTTCATTATACCTATGGGGTATATTCATGGAATCGCAGTTGGCTTCATATTCCCATGATATTCCCTCGACCTCCATGAATTATTGATTCTCTTAATAAGCTCTTGATATCACCCTGTGAGAACCATACTATGCCATTGATACCCCAAATGATTCTGCATGATTCCGTGCGTATAAGATGCTGTTGATACCCCAGTCGCTGATAGTTATGCCTTTATGATTCTCTAACTATTCTTGCAATATACCCTTTCATTGCCCAGAGGGTATCTTGCCGGAATCACAGGGAGGCTCATATTCCCTTGAGATGCTTTCATATTCTTCTGTTATGCTTCCTTTGCCTGATTCTTTCAAAATACTCTTGATATCACCCGAGCAGAACCATAGTATTCCTCAATGATTCTTCGTTGGAGGCATCAGGAACACGCCAAAGGTCCGCCATTTTTCTCCGCCATTTCCGGTGATCAGTGAAGAGCGGTGTTGGGTGCTGTGTGGTTGCGATCGTGCCATTTTAGGCTGGAATTGAGCCTTATTGAGGGTGAGTACCATCCTTAGCAGGAACTCATATGACGATGAAATGCTTGGATTGACTTAGGCCCTTGATTTTTCATATGTAGTGTTCTTCTAAGGTTGCGTGTACTTGTGCTTCTGATGTCTAAATGAGATCATTACTTTACAGCATTATATTTGTTTAAATAGGTAGGTACCCAACAGTTGAACATCGTTGTTCTGATACATGTTAACTTCTTACATATCGAGTATAAGCGAACCTGTTCAACCAATCTTATACAAAATGCATTGGGGGGGGGGGGGGATTGCCTCATACTCTTGAGTATGTGTGAGCATCCCTGGACCCGTCAGTGTGAATAAAAAATATTCTCAAATGAGTAAGTGATATGTCCGTCGTCCTCCTTGCCTGATCCACAGAGGACGCGGCGCTGGTACTGCTGCGCCTTCTGGGTGAGGAGGGAACGGTCGTCATGGAGGCGCCAGCGGCGACGATGACACGTCCCCTGATACACGAGCGGGAGACGAGTTCGACATCGTGGTCGAAGAAACAGTGGTGGCCAGCGCCCAGTGCCTTGAAGAGGCACTCTTTCTCTTCGGGGTCGCCTACTACGTCTTCAACCAGAAAGTGTCCCGTGCATCGCGCTCCACGATGTGGTTCATCGTCCACGACATCATGGGGCTGCCGGCAGAGTCAACAGCGACGGCGGACGCGCTGAAAAATCTGTCGGTGCTGACAGCATAGTGTGCCCGCGCAGTGAGGTAAGCCCAGGGGCAGAGTGGAGACGGAGTGATGGACGGAGATGATGGAGACGGACGTGATGGCCCGCCCCACAGGGAAAGGGGTCACAAGCGGCATGGGCGGGCCTGTTGACATCCTGTGGCAGCCCCTGGGCTACGTTGTCGGACTTTCTTGAGGTCAGGGAGGGGGAACTCGTAGGAGCCACACGCTCAACTTTCGTTGTGTAGCAAAGGTGGGAAAAACCACGCCATTTGAAGGGGCACCGGTTGTTTTGCGACTCCTTCGTAAGAGTCGCAAAACAACGGTCATCGTAGAAGAGCCAGCGGCGCTTCTCGTGTGTCATGTGTGTTTTTTTTACAGCCTGGATCTCAACATGTGATATGGCATTTGTTATTTGTTTGTTATGGTATGAGGCGTGTGCGTGACGTATGTTTAATATGGATAGTATGTACAGTCTGTCTTAAAAGTACCGCGCAAAGTGACGGTGGATCCATCAAGCCTGACCGAAGAAGAGCCTGCTATACCTAATTTGAAAGTCACCGAACCAATTGACCTGGGGAGTGGTCGAGAATGTCAATTGCTTCGGTGATTCAAATTTAGCAGGCCCTTCCTCGGTCAGGCTTGATGGATCCACCGTTACTTTGCGCGGTACTTTTAAGACAGACTGTACAAATTGAATGTCTCTTGGCAACTAGGAAGCTGTGATTTTGAAATGAATGCAGAGGCAGTTGTCTTTCCAATCAATACAGTACGTTTTTCTTATACACACAAGCGTATCGTGGTTGCTGTTGGTGTGGCTGAGCGTCGATGGCATGGGCGGATCCAGGAAATTCAGAGGAAGGGCGAAGGTGGTTACATAAATGGCGTCTCTTACCTTTGTGTGGGTAAAGAAATCAGTGCGCTCGGTATCTCATGGGGATCTCACGAGGAATAGCATGACCCCGCGAGCCCATCCCTTGATCCGCGCCACTGCGGAACGAAGCATCAATGGGGTATATAGAGAGGCATCAAAGGAGCATCAATGTGGTGCATATAGAGAGCATCAAATCAGCATCAATGGGGTATATAGAGAGCATCAATGGAGTATGTAGAGAGCATCAAAGGAGCATCAATGGGGTATATAGAGAGCATCAAAGGAGCATCAATGGGGTTTATAGCAAGCATCAAAGGAGCATCAATGGGGTATATAGATAGCATCAAAGGAGCATAGATCGGGTTTAGACGGAGCATCCGAACTATGCTAGGGGGCATCAAAGGGGCATGGAGGAGATTCAGGGGGAATACACTAGGCATTTCGTAAGAATAATGGAGGCATAACCAGATAATCATTTTGATTCCACTTAGCCATCCAACAGGCATATTAGGGTAATAATGTTGGGATATTGGGGGTATCTAAGGCCAAAAAGGTGCTACTTGAAGTATATTACGGGAATAATTGGGGTTTCGTTTTAGACCATTCTCCTAATATCACACCCCCGGAATCATTTTAGTTTTCAGTGTAGGCTCCAGGCACCGAGACCGAGCTGCCGGTGCCGGGCACTGGGTGCGGCTGCAGAGTGCTCTCCATCGGCTGAGCTGTAAACCGGATGAGAGACCATCAATGGAATAATCTTAACATCATATGGGGAATACCGATGGTTGTCAGCATAAACAATTAGGGCATGTCGTAGCACAGCATAGGGCATAATGCATGCTACTATAACAACAGGCGCTCAGTAAGTAAGTAAGGAGATATTCCAGGGAAGTAGGTTCTCACCGGATACTCCGTAGGCTCCAGGCACCGAGACCGAGCTGCCTTACTATTGCAGACGACAGGGATGGGTGGGCACGACCCCCCTGGCGTTTCGCCCCCATGGGACTTAGAAACACTAGGGGAGAGTGGGGCATATTCGTGCAAAAATAGATAAATCCATATATCTGTTCTTTGGTTGGTACAATGGTAAAATTGCTGATTGTAGTGTGGATATGAACTAATGCATATATTTTTCATTAAAAGTTATCCTCTAAAATTATCGCTTCTGTTAGAAAAAAATAATAACTATCAATGTTGGCACGAAACTGTCCCAGCTATGGGGCACTTTCGTGCAAGGGGTGGGGCACCTCCGTGCACCCTGCAAAGTTCGAGGAATTGCCAGTAGTTACCAAAATTTACCAAAAGAAATTGGCAGGGTTCATTTCACTTGATTCCTTTCGACAAGAATGTATTGCACGACAAATGTAGAAAGAACGGGCTGGCCAACAAGAATGTGCCAACTGCCGGCCATCAGCCCGCCTCCGTGACCTCGCCAAGGTCGCGTGAATTACTTGTCACGATGTCTCAAGCAGCCGAGACTGAGTCAGGCGAGCGTCATGAATGAAACCTACTATAGATACTCATAAATTGCAAAAACGGAAAAATGAACGAATGAGCCTCTAGGCAGTGCATACACGAACCTGCCCCACAACGTTTTCTTCGTAATATATTACAAAATTTCTGGATGAAAAATGACACCTTTTTAACAAACAAGTTTGCAACAGTTCCGTGAGTAGTGTGAGCTTCTGCGCCGTGAATTTTGAAAAGCTGAACCGCATTTCCGAGTCAGGGTCACGTAAATGGATGCTATGAAAAAGTTTGAAAAACGCACGAATAATACAACTTTGCGTTTTAAATAAATGACCGTCGTGTGAATTGGTAAACTGTTCTTATACTTTATCTCATGAATTGCTTGGTGACGTCAGAGTCAGTTATCCAAACGCTCACGATGGTCAATTCAAGATTGAAAGAGGGACAGCTTTATATGCCATTTTCTAAGCAGGCCATGACAGCCGCATTAACCTTCGCCAAGGCAAGGGTTGGGACCATTTCGACTCTTGGTAGCGTCATAACTGTGGCCTATGTTTCCGACATACCTTGCCATGTATTACCTATTATATCGTGTAAAACTTGAGGATTAAGTCATTTAGGATCAGATAAATCAATCAGATAAACGAAGATACATTACAACAAGCATGTTGCACAGCGCCGCGTCAAAGCTATATCTTTTAACTGGTTAAAATTGTATGAGCTAAGTTCGGGTCAATTAAGAAAAAGTTGATCATCAAAGTCTTTTACTAGTCAATCATATGTAATGTAGCACGACCTGTTCAGTTTCTGGTCTTGTCCCTTGACCTGGGGGCACATTTTCCATTGACCTTAAAGGTCAAATTACGAAAATTTGTTAAAATTTGTTTTGTATTATTCGACGGGCCTCGGTGAAAGAACCACGATAGCTGTAAAATCATTAAGCTGATACGACGGTCCAATGTTCTTGTACGAATGTTTTCGTATAAGCGATCTGCTTCTCTTTTCGTGTCTCTTGGAGGTAAAATATGTTGACCCGATGTGAAATCAGCGAGATGGTAGCGAGATACCTTTTTTAACTAAACATTTTTGGCAGTCATAGCTTGTCTTCCTCACGCCCAGCAACAGTAAGTCAGAAAGTGTCAAAATGGTCCAAATTTGACCTCTGCTATTCCCTTGTGAACCAGTTTTATTTTATTACTTTGGTCCGCATCGTCACCCGGCGAAGGTTAAAAAGAGCAAAAAAAAAACAATGTTCTGTCCATAGTCACCACACACACATTAGACAAGAGATCCGGAGAAGGAAAGAGTCATTGACAAATAGGAAATTGACAATGAAAGGCATCGTTACCCGCGATGTATGCTCGTATCAGGTCCGGGTCAACTCTGCCACCTGAAGTCCAAGTTGGCACCCTAGTGAAGGAACAAGGTAAGGATACAGCACAATGAAATGATAGTGGAGTAGCACAGTGGAAATCGGACACGGAACAATTTTCTTAACCCTCGCCGGCCGAGGAGGGGGGGGGGGGGGGGGGTTTCGCGATAGCTCGGGACACGCCGGCGATAGAGAGCTGAAACTTGGCATACCTGACCTTTGATTCAAGCCAGATCTAGTGACATCAACCACATTTTCAGGTCAGATAAGGCCACTGACCTATGACGTCATAAGTAAACGTCTGCACGATTCTCAGACGTCGCACCTTCGCACCGCCCTCAGTGCCAGGGAAACTTTCACAGGAAGATGAAACTTACAGGACGTAGTATCCTCCAGAGGTCTCACAACGTGTATATCTCGGATTTTTCCTAAAGGTCATATGAGGTCAGGTCGGCTACGTGACCTCACCATTATCATTCAATGGGGAAATATTAAAACTGCTGACGCCGGGAATGATCTAAAACTAGCTCAAGTGCATGGAATAATGGAATCGTGATTTCATGCACTTCTTGCAAGGTCCCATGCTTCACTTTTGCATTGTGGACCTTGCGTGACGTCATTTATAGGTCACTAGGGTCATATGAGTTTTTATTCAAAAACTGCTGATCAAATTGAATAAAGAGTCGGGAAAGCCACCAATGGACTCGGGAAGACCTGTCGAATCGAATGATATGCGATATGACCTCATTCGACCAACTTCATGACCTGAGGGGCTCTGACCTTACCCTCACCCGAGGTCAACACCTTCAGTTGACGTCACCCAAACAAAAAGTGTACCATTCGACGCGCCTGAGCCAGGCGAACACGATGATGCCAAAATCGCGGCTCTGCGACCATTTTTTTGCGAAGTTATTAACCAAAAACCGAACCCGTGTCTTGGGCAGCTTGACCTGACCTTAGAGGTCACCGGTTGATCTGAGACCTTAAAATCGGGTACCAATCACTGTGTGTCGTAACGGCGCACACGCCCATTTTGTCCGCGATGTTCTAGCTCCATTAGGGGCGAAACGGTGAGGGGGGGGGGTCGAACCAACCCCCCTCGGCCGCGGCGTATGTAGAAAACCATTAGGTCCGGCGAGGGTTAAACAAGCTGAGAATGAACTGGAGTATGAACGGAAACACCCACACCCATGGGCCATTCTGCATCTACATCTGCCCTGGCAGCAGAGAGTGGCTTGTTTCAAAACAATTTTGGTTGCTGATGCCGCTCTCATGCCGCCTGGGTTTTGGGCGACCCTCCCGCCACTCCGCCCTGTCAATGAAGGTGGTTTTATCTGCTATAGTCGGTGGCAGCTGCCAACCGCTAACAGGGCCCAGTTTCACCAAGTGCGGTAAACTCAATTTGGGGTAAAATACCAAACTACCCCACTACATAACTACAAAAATACTACCCCGAAATTAAGTTACACTAACTTGGTGAGGTTGGGCACTTGGCCCAATCTCACCAAGTTATGTAAACTTAATTTCAGGGTAGTATGTTTGTAGTTATGGAGTGGGGTAGTTTGGTATTTTACCCCAAATTGAGTTTACCGCACTTGGTGAAACTGGGCCTGGAGAGACGACGACAGAGACGTCTCGGAAAGCAGCAAATAACTACTATGGACGTCAAACCCCTTGAGACTCCACTTTTTGCGATGATTTTTAAATGCGTGATTTCTCGTTGACGATATTTTGGCGATGTGTGTTTCAGAACCTGCTGAAACTGTTATTACCAAGGTATTTTGACGCCAAACGATTATGAAAGGTACTTCTCATTCACTCGTAATGTTAAATTTCACGGAATAAATCTGCTGTTTGGGTTAAGGCTACGCGCTCATGGGACGGAGCCACGCAATGACCTCAGCGCTACGCTCCAACCTACCCCTTCGGCGCTCCCTGCCCGGTAACCGGTCACTCGTGTCTCGCGCTCCATCCAGGGCCCTGTTTCACCGGTGATAGCAGCACGCTGCTATTACACGTGTCAAATTCATCAACAAACCATGGCATCGTCAAACTCTGTGATGTCATCAAATATTGCTGCTAACATCTTCACGGCCGTGCGATCAAACAAATGTATCTAACGCATTCAACGAGACAGCAACTCGCGGTCTCGTTGACCAGCTTCAGCTGGTCGTCGCGGGCAGTGGCTGAATGCACCTAGCCTTGTTAAGTACCACCGGATCTGTGTGGTGCACACGCTCGCTACGACGGGCAAGCCCGAAGTTCTCGCAGAAACTATCGGTCGCACCGTGCACCACTCGTACCAGACACGTGCTGCGGGCAACCACATGTTGCCGAGAATTCGCACTGAAGCTGGTCGACAGCGGCTCTGCTACGACACTGTGCGCGAGTATGACCGCTTACCGTTCGATGTCACCGCTCGCAACTTTCGACACCAGCTCAAAAAGCACATTTTTATGGAGCAGTCTGCGATGTCTAGTTAGTTTCAGTTGAGCACTGTGTCTTGAACCTTGTGTATTTACATATTTGACGTATTGCAATGAAAAGCCATGTTCCATGGATTTGCTGTGAATAAAGTATCTGTATCTGTATCTGCGGGCGACCAGCTGAAGCTGCTTGGAGTCACGCTGGACCAGCTGCTCCACTTCGGAGCCCACTGTCGCAGCCTCCGCCAGCGCGTGCGACCTCGAACTAACCAACTCAGACTGCTGACCGGGCGTGAGTGGGGGCTGGAAGAGCGCCAGCTGCGCATCGTCGCCTCCGGCTACATCCGCGGCGCACTGGAACACGCCGCCGCCGCCTGGCTCCCAGCAGCGTCACCGTCCCATGTCATGCTGCTGGAGAGGGAGATGCGCGAGGCCGCCAGAGTGGTAACCGGCTGCCCCCGGTCCACTCCGGCACACGCCGTAATGGCAGAGGCGGGCCTCGCCCCGGTGGCCGAGCGACGCACGGCCCTGGCGGCGCGCCTACTGGCCAAAGGCGCGCGCCCTCCCGGCTGGAGACCCGCTGCTGAAGGTGGCGGAGAGCCAGGCCCTCACCCGCCTCAGCACCGTGACGGGGTGGAGAGGAGTGGGCGAGGAGACCTGGAGAGCGGCGGGCATCTGCCCTCCGATCGAGCCCATCCTCCCCCTGCCGGATCCACCGTGGGAACCGTCACCAACGGTTTCCTTCGGTTTAGACATCGGAGTCGCCATCCCAACCGCGGCTAGAGGAATGCGGCTTCCCAGCACCTGGCGGCGCTCCCGTAGTGCGCCACCTGGGTGTGGACCGACGGCTCGGCCACCGACGGCGTCCTGAACGGTGGCGCCGGAGCTCTGATCGTGTGGCCGGACGGAGAGGAACGCTCGGTCCGCGCCCCGGCGGGCCGCCTATGCTCAAGCTTCCGGGCTGAAATGGTCGCCCTCCAGACCGCCCTCTCGTTCCTATTGGAGAACCCTCTTCACGCCGATGACCCCGTAGTGATCTGCACGAACTCACAGTCCGCGCTCGCCGCACTCCGAGAGGGCCCGGCCGCCCAGCACTCCCCGCTGGGAGGGGCCATCTGGAGAGCCCTCCGGGGCCTGACGGCGGGAGGAGGCCGGCAGGTCCACCTGCAATGGGTGCCCTCGCACTGCGGACTGGAGGGGAATGAGAGAGCGGACTCGATCACCAAGGAGGCCAGCAATCTCGCCCAGAACCAAGTCCTCATCGACGTCCAGACGGCCCACCGGGCCGCCGCCAGAGTGGCGAGGGCCCGGACCATCCGAGCCTGGCCGGCCGGCTGGTTCCGCCGGCTAACCGGGGACCGCCTCCCGCCGGCCGTGGCCAGTGGAGACCGGTCAGCGGCGGTGGACGTACACCAGCTCCGCGCCGGCCACTGGACCAGCTCTACGCAGTGGCGCCACAGAGTCGGGCTGGCGCCCTCCCGGCTGGCGGGGTGCGGGCAGTGTGACGATCAACACTGCAGGGCCGCGCTCTGCCCCCTCTGCCGGGAGGAGGCGGACACCCCCCCCCCCCCAGCATGTCCTCCTGCGCACCCGACACCGACTGCTGGGATCCATCAACCCCGACCTGGAAGAGGTGCGGGGCGGCGCCATCGTGGCGGCCCTGGGGGCCGCCCACAGGTCCCTACAGAGCCTGACGGCTACGTCTCAGTTGTGAGACGGAGGGACCAACAACAACAACAACGAGACAGCAACTCTGTTCCAAACGTAGCTATCAAAAAGCTCACGGATTACACGAAACGTCATTAGTGTGACGTCATCACATTACGTCAGCTCGCGCAATTTGATAGCAGCGTGCTGCTATCACCGGTGAAACAGGGCCCAGGCTTGGTGGTGAGGGGCCGCCAGCTCTGTACACTCAAAACTCAAATGATTCCTTTTTTGGTGTAAATGGGGTGTGGTCTAAAACGATACCCACTTTACGCCCTACTTAGACCAGAAGAACACCATCTTAACCCTCTCGAAACCCAAACATACACCCTGTACACCTGTCGAACACCGTTCATACACCCCTCTTGCACCCTTTTAACACCACCAGTAAACCTATATGACACCCGTATCATACCCACTTGCACCGGGTTTACACCCCCTGAACCAGCTTTATGCCACCTTTGCACCTTATGTGCACTCTTTTTACTCTTGTGCTACACCACCTTGCACCCAAATTACTCCTGTTCTACACTCCCTTTGCACCCATTTTACTTCTGTTGTACACCCCCTTTGCACCCATTTTACTCCTGTTTTATACCCCTTTGCATCCATTTTACTCCTGTTCTACACCCTCTTTGCACCCATTCTACTCCTGTTCTACACCCTCTTTGCACCCATTTTACTCCTGTTCTACACTCCCCTAGCACCCACGGTACACCCGGCTAGCACCATCCATGCACCGCTCCCCAACACCACCGCTCCCCACCTTTTTCATTCGCAGACCCGTCACCAAAGTCAGCCAGCTGGTGCAACATTTATTACAACGAAACTTAAAACGAAACGCATAACTAAACTTAGCGCATACGAAACTTAGCGCGGCCGCCCAGCCGCGGTGGCCGACTATGACGAACAGTTTCAGTCTATCTTGAAGGAACTGCTGGTCTTGGATGTCGGCCGGGGGCCGCTCAGTGGCTAGGAGTAGCACTCTGATTTCTTGGCGGTCCCTTGTTTGATAGTTCTCGTTGATAAGCCTCTGTTGAGAGAGGTAGTTCCGCCACTGCTGGTTAAACTCGGGCGGCGGGAGCACCAGCGGAGGTGGGCCGTCCATGGGGCGCTGAGAAGCCGAACCCGGCCGAGGTGTCGAGTCTGGTTGCGATGGCTGGGCAGCGCGGCCCGGCCGGGGCGGCTGTAAAAGAGTCGCCACTTGGCGGGCGAGCTGTTCCAGCTGGTCGTCACCCAGAAGCACCGGCTGGGTGGGCCTCGCGCCCCCGGCACCGCCTTCGGATCGATCCAGCTCGAACTGTAGCTGGCGAGCCACCTGGCTCCTGGTGTTCCTCGACGGCGTGTCGGCTGCTGAGAGTCGTTGACGCGATGTGGAGGGCGTACCTGGGCGGTCGTTGCCCATCCGCTCCTAGGAAGGGCAGAATCTGGCCGCGGGTAGGCACCGTGGTGCGTCCCGCTAGGCCAGAGGGAGATCCTGCGTCGCACTCCGCACTCACAGCCCACTTAATAGAGGTTTTCACTTTTCACCACCCAGCACTTGGGACGCTCCCCTCGTCGGAGCGTCCTGAGTCGCGGTCACGGCGAAACTGAGCCGTTAACGTCGGCCGAGGGCCCGCGCAGGGGCCTAGGCCGCTTCCCATTGGTCGGCCGCGCTGACGTCATGTCGGCAGCCGTTAGAAAGCGCGCGAAAAACGGCGTTGCTTCCTTGTTCAATGAGTGTAAAAGGGGTGTTTCCAGAAAGTTCTTATCCCGATCTATTCCCTTATTACACCCCGATCTGGGCATCGCCATATGGTGTACAGATGGTGTTTCAACGATGGTGTTCGTATAGTGTAAAAAGGGTGCTTCCAGAAAGTTCTTATCCCGATTTATTCCCTTATTACACCCCGATCTGGGCATCGCCGCCCTAGGTGTACAGGTAGTGTTTCAACGATGGTGTTCGTATAGTGTAAAAGGAGTGTTTCCAGAAAGTTCTTATCCCGATATATTCCCTTATTACACCCCGATCTGGGCATCGCCATATGGTGTACAGATGGTGTTTCAACGATGGTGTTCGTATAGTGTAAAAAGGGTGTTTCCAGAAAGTTCTTATCCCGATCTATTCCCTTATTACACCCCGATCTGGGCATCACCTAGGTGTACAGATGGTGTTTCAACGAGGGTGTTCGCCTGGTGTGTTGATGGTATATTTAGCGGATCGGTGCATGAGCGGTGTTAAAAAGGTTCATGGGTGCAAACAGGGACTAACAACGGTGTATAATGGGCATCAGGTTGGCGTACTTCTGGTGCATATCTGGTGTAAAGTGGGTGTAATCCCAACTTAAGGTGTCAATGGGGTGTAAATCGTGTTTTCAGTGTCACTCAAAACTCAAATGATTCCTTTTTTGGTGTAAATGGGGTGTGGTCTAAAACGATACCCACTTTACGCCCTACTTAGACCAGAAGAACACCATCTTAACCCTATCGAAACACCAAACATACACCCTGTACACCTGTCGAACACCGTTCATACACCCCTCTTGCACTCTTTTAACACCACCAGTAAACCTATATGACACCCGTATCATACCCACTTGCACCGGGTTTACACCTCCTGAACCAGCTTTATGCCACCTTTGCACCTTATGTGCACTCTTTTGACTCTTGTGCTACACCACTTTGCACCCATTTTACTCCTGTTCTACACTCCCTTTGCACCCATTTTACTCCTGTTGTACACCCCCTTTGCACCCATATTACTCCTGTTCTACACCCCCTTTGCACCCATTTTACTCCTGTTCTACACCCTCTTTGCACCCATTCTACTCCTGTTCTACACCCTCTTTGCACCCATTTTACTCCTGTTCTACACTCCCCTAGCACCCACGGTACACCCGGCTAGCACCATCCATGCACCGCTCCCCAACACCACCGCTCCCCACCTTTTTCATTCGCAGACCCGTCACCAAAGTCAGCCAGCTGGTGCAACATTTATTACAACGAAACTTAAAACGAAACGCATAACGAAACTTAGCGCATACGAAACTTAGCGCGGCCGCCCAGCCGCGGTGGCCGACTATGACGAACAGTTTCAGTCTATCTTGAAGGAACTGCTGGTCTTGGATGTCGGCCGGGGGCCGCTCAGTGGCTAGGAGTAGCACTCTGATTTCTTGGCGGTCCCTTGTTTGATAGTTCTCGTTGATAAGCCTCTGTTGAGAGAGGTAGTTCCGCCACTGCTGGTTGAACTCGGGCGGCGGGAGCACCAGCGGAGGTGGGCCGTCCATGGGGCGCTGAGAAGCCGAACCCGGCCGAGGTGTCGAGTCTGGTTGCGATGGCTGGGCAGCGCGGCCCGGCCGGGCGGCTGTAAAAGAGTCGCTACTCGGCGGGCGAGCTGTTCCAGCTGGTCGTCACCCAGAAGCACCGGCTGGGTGGGCCTCGTGCCCCCCGGCACCGCCTTCGGATCGATCCAGCTCGAGCTGTAGCTGGCGAGCCACCTGGCTCCTGGTGTTCCTCGACGGCGTGTCGGCTGCTGAGAGTCGTTGGCGCGATGTGGAGGGCGTACCTGGGCGGTTGTTGCCCATCCGCTCCTTGGAAGGGCAGAATCTGGCCGCGGGTAGGCACCGTGGTGCGTCCCGCTAGGCCAGAGGGAAATCCTGCGTCGCACTCCGCACTCACAGCCCACTTAATAGAGGTTTTCACTTTTCACCACCTAGCACTTGGGACGCTCCCCTCGTCGGAGCGTCCTGAGTCGCGGTCACGGCGAAACTGAGCCGTTAACGGCGGCCGAGGGCCCGCGCAGGGGCCTAGGCCGCTTCCCATTGGTCGGCCGCGCTGACGTCATGTCGGCAGCCGTTAGAAAGCGCGCGAAAAACGGCGTTGCAAAATGGCGTGCTTCCTTGCTCAATGAGTGTAAAAGGGGTGTTTCCAGAAAGTTCTTATCCCGATCTATTCCCTTATTACACCCCGATCTGGGCATCGCCATATGGTGTACAGATGGTGTTTCAACGATGGTGTTCGTATAGTGTAAAAAGGGTGTTTCCAGAAAGTTCTTATCCCGATCTATTCCCTTATTACACCCCGATCTGGGCATCGCCGCCCTAGGTGTACAGATGGTGTTTCAACGATGGTGTTCGTATAGTGTAAAAGGAGTATTTCCAGAAAGTTCTTTTCCCGATATATTCCCTTATTACACCCCGATCTGGGCATCGCCATATGGTGTACAGATGGTGTTTCAACGATGGTGTTCGTATATTGTAAAAAGGGTGTTTCCAGAAAGTTCTTATCCCGATCTATTCCCTTATTACACCCCGATCTGGGCATCACCTAGGTGTACAGATGGTGTTTCAACGAGGGTGTTCGCCTGGTGTGTTGATGGTATATTTAGCGGATCGGTGTATGAGCGGTGTTAAAAAGGTTCATGAGTGCAAACAGGGACTAACAACGGTGTATAATGGGCATCAGGTTGGCGTACTTCTGGTGCATATCTGGTGTAAAGTGGGTGTAATCCCAACTTAAGGTGTCAATGGGGTGTAAATCGTGTTTTCAGTGGTAGCGTAGGTATGTACGGCCCTCCAGGTATTAAGTGGTTGGTTGCCATCATCACAATAAGCGATCTGCATTGATAAATACGTCTAATGGCTGTTGAAAACCATTGCGGAAGTGTGTGCACGAACCCTCTTCTCATTTCTATTGAGTCATTTTACAGGAGTGTCTCTGTCATTCAAAGTTATTGCACCAAAAGCACATAGGCTAACTCTTTTGATGGAGCAGAGCGCAGCTATACGAAAAATCAGCCTTCTAGCTCTAAAAATGTTAAGTGCAGAGCAGAAAGACTACCTGGGGGGGTGGCAACCACCCCCCCCCCCCCATGTGCGGGCGAGGGTTAATACTCCAGCAACTGGGCAATATGAGCATCTCCATTGTTAACATTTCCGAATGAAAGCTCACTCACGTAAAGATAAGACCTCCTCCTTTTCTGGTTACCACAGGCGATGCTGCAGAGGACATAAAAAGTAAAAATTACTAGCCGGTGGCTCTCGGGCAGCTCAGTGTCGGGGTCCCGGGTAGGGTGAGCTCAGCGACGGCGGAAGCGAGCCGCCGCCGGAAGTCGGCAGGTGGTCCCTCCTGCTCACTGCGCCAGGGGGTGGGGGAGGCATTGCTCCCGGTAAGAAGCGTTCTCAAGGGCGGCAGCGGTAGAGGCGGGGTAAGGCGAACTTCACCTCGGAATAGAAGGTGTGGCTGTGTGTGAGCCGGGAGAGAATGGGAAAGAGTTATTGCAAAGCTGTCAGCTGCAGGGACTAGGAGGTTGGTCTATCAGCGGGTTGATTGCTCTGTCAATGCATTTCACACCCCTTCGATCACTACCCTAGCCCACCCCCCCCCCCCATAAACCCGGACCTGGTTATGGTCAGAAAGACGGTCAGCGGCTTTATCAGTGGATCGATACTACGATCAGGGTCATTGTCACGATTAGGAACACAGTCACAGTCGAAGTTCAGGTAGGTTGAGAACATTGTACCTGCATAAAAAGCGGCATAAGTAGCACACCACCCTTCACAACAGGTCATGGAAAGGGATCCTTTCAGATCAGTAACTAGAAGTGAAATGATGGCCTTTGAGCTTACCGGAATCCGTGCCATTTTACCAGGTAGCGGTGGCCTTCCTTCTTCAAAATCTTCTCCGCATTCACATGGTGGTGGTGCTTCATCTGTAAGAACCAGAATATCATCAGTATAACATAGGGCTGGGCGTGCGTGACAGACCCAGTGACTTATGTTGAAAATGAGGGCCTTATAGCAGAGATCCAAATTCAAATATGAATATATTCTCTCCGTTCTGCAGCAACTGTAATAATAATAACAATAACATTCTCAACTTGGCTACCTAAACTAAAGACAAATATAGAGGTGGAAGCCCTCCTTTAACCCACGCCCCGCTGGGGGTCCTGGATTTCCACGCCCTGCTGGGGAGGGGGGGGGGTGTTGACCCCCCTTCTAACTCGGCTCCTGGGTCACGTAGCGATACGCGGAAGGCGGCGTTCAAAAGAGCGCCAAAAATAATGGCTTGTAAATTATGAAATCACTTCAGCCGCTTTTTTGGCCAGGTCAAAGGTCAGGTCACCAGAGGTCACTGAAGGCAAAATTTAGCCGATTTTCAGGTCAAATGTCGACAATTTCCAACATACCCATGACTGAAACCACACATTACTTCTGCTGTGGACTGTACCTACCTCAGGAATTACGAAGTTTGTCATGCTCTTACTTGATGAAGCAATGATGAAGCAAAATGACTGTTAAGTGATTGCCATTATGCTTATTTTAATTTTTACTTTAAATAACTTGATTAAATTGCCATGTGCAAACACACAAATATTTCATATTCCAGTTCAATCCGGAATCCATAGGTCAATCAGTTTGTTAATCCAGTCCAGTCTGAATCCATTTCGACTGGACAAGATAAATAATATGTTGCATCAGTCCAAACCGTCTCATACTCTGCAGCCAAATATGGGCATAGCTCTGCCAACAAGAATCAATTTTTGATTGAAGCAATACTTTGATTCCTACCTCCTATTTTGTCCAACTGAGGTAGGTAGGTACATATGAGTAAAGACCTAATCATAATCATATCCAGGTACCAGGTATACCAGGTACCTGGATACCAGGTAAGATATGAATTACATAAATTAGCTAGTATTACATTTTGACCTGGTAATCCGTTAAGGGTAACGCTGCAGACAGCACCATGGGATATGTTAGGCAAGGATAAGGCAAATTTTAGGTGATGATACAGCAGGCATCTCACATGCCATGCTGCCAGCCGTTCGTGAGAAGTCGCTCGACTCTCCAGTTCTCGAGATATTTACACAAATTTTGCTTCTAAAAGCCTCTAAAGTGTCCTACAGAACAAAACATAATCTAACCTGACCTAGCCTTACCTACTAACCTACTAGCCTAAACCCTACCAATGAACAGCCTACAACAAAATTTGTGTAAAGATCTTAAGAATTACCTAGTGAGTCTAGATACTTTCTACAAAACTTCTTCTTCGTGGATTAGGACACGCAGCCGTCAGGCTCAAGCATCCAACACCTTTTATTAACGGGTGACAGCATGTGAGACGTCTGCTATGTGAATACCAATTATTTTGGTTTTAGAGGTAAAAGGTTTCAGGTGAAAGACCTTCAATGCTTCAGGAAGCATAATGCATACCTCTTTAACCAAAAATATTTGCATTACCCTTGCCTAACATAAAATATGATAACCTACTGCATAAAACAGGCCCTGGTGCAAAACTTACTAGCAAATCGCTGTTGGCTGGTTAGGTGAGGTTTGGTTATGTTTTAAAACAATGTATATTAGTTATCTTTAAGCACCTCACAATAGTATAAAGCCTATTACCTACCTTCTGAATGCTAGGTGACAATGTGGTAAATGTCAAGTTTATGTCCTAAGAAGATTTCATTGATAAATTTTTCATATTCTTACATTATTTGACATCCTGAATCCAAAAATGATACTCATATGTCTCGCAAATAAAAGAAAAAACATAATCAAACCTGACCTAACCTTACCTACTTACCTATAACCTACCGACCTACAGCCTACAAACCTACCCTAACCTAACCTAACCTACAAACCTACCTACCTACAACCTAAAACCTACAAACCTACAACCTAACCTAACCTAAAACCTAAAATTTTTGCTGTTTCATATTCGTATCAACAGCGTCACAATTGTAGTTAGGACCTAAACTTGACATATACCGACAATGTCAACCTTGCCATGAACCGCGGCAATCACTACAAACCGCTACAAACCAACGAGAAGACGAGGCAATGTCTTGCAAACATTCAGTGATATATGTTCACGCTTTCTACAATACCATTGTCACTAAAATAATATCGCACAACCTCACCTTGACACAACACGCTGCACAGCGAACCGCGGCAATCACTACAAACCGCTACAAACCAACGAGAAGACGGAAGAGGCAACGAAAAATGCTGCCATATCGCGTATTTTTTTTTTGGAGCCCAGTAAAGGTTTCTTGTGTCGCATTGCCACCGTTTGAAATCTTTGCCGACTTGTTCAATTCGCTATGTCAGGATAAAACTTTTATCCTGACATGTTCAGAAGTCAGAATAAATTCGAATCTGGACCGATCCCATAGAGTTATAAAGGGTTCAATTTATACTGACATGAATGTTAGGATAAATTGAAAAAGTATTGCCAATCGGGTTTATCCTGACAAAATGTCAGGATAAACAGGAAAAACGAACACACCCATCTTAGGTTGCACCGTTGGGTGCGTGGGGCCTTGCAGTGTACGGCCGGCTTTAGAGGACAGTGATTGACGTCTTACCTCTCGAAGATGCCTCTAATTTGTGCCGCTACTAGATAGTACGTAGAGGGCCTGTTGTAGCCCGCTCCAGCACCGTTTTCGCCAAATGTTTACTCTGTGGCTAAAGAATATAGTCGGATCGCTAAGGCAGTTTATCGCATTATTCCGTTTCGAAACAGTTCGCTATAGTACTTAGAAACGTCAGATCGAGGGCTCTTGTCAGGTATTCAGGTGCCTGCCTGACAAGTAGGCTGTGCCGCAGAGCACGGGTGTACTGCGGGCTGCCTGATGACTGTGTTGTTTACGCCCAATGCCTGTACTGACGATGGTACAGCATTTTAATCAAAATCCTTAGTGGCTGCCTGACAAGTAGGCTGTGCCGCAGAGCACGGGTGTACTGCGGGCTGTCTGTCGACTGTGTGATTTGCGCCCGTTGACTGTACCGACGATGGTGCGGTAAATTAATGATATATCCACCGTATTTTATTGCGGATGCATAGGGCTAGGTGGGGTAGTTTGCACCTGGTGGATACAGCCGAAATTGAATTTCCAGGAAACCGGAGGACCATGCTTGTTTCTGCTCGTTGTGTGTAGATGTGTATTTTGCGATTCGCCTTGTTTTGTCTTTGCTGCGCCAGAAGCAGATATGGCTTGCCAGAGTTAACTTCTGAGGCAGACTTTAGCAATAAAAAGTCGAAACGTCACTTATTAGTTTGTTCGCTATATACATATATATATATATATATATATATATATATATATATATATATATATATATATATATATATATATATATATATATATATATATATATATATATATATTATATATATATATATATATATATATATATATATTCGAATAGTTCGGAAGCAGGTTCTCTTTTATGCAAGTTTTGTTAAACACAACAGCATAATGGGCACTTATCTTCTTCTTATTAAGACTTTCGAGGCGGCGAATGCACTGTCGAGGTTCGGGTTCGTGAGAATGTAAAATATTACCAAAAGATGTCATAAATACAAAATATCATAGCTATATTGTTGTTCGACGTTTCGATCTATCAGAGATCATTTTCAAGAAAATTACAGTCACACAGTTTTAGAAGTCATACTTTGAGATAAATGGGTTCAATTACATTTTGGAACAAATATTACGGATATGATACTAAAACTATTCAGTCGATGAGTCACAGCATTCAAAACAAAATAACACACTTTTGTTTTCGTACATGAGCTATAACCCTAAACACATTCGTTCATCCTCCGCGAAGGAAGGTCACATCAAAAACACCATAGCGAGATACGTACGCGCATATGACAGATAACTCAGTCAACCCGCCGCGAGTACTTTGTCGTACAGTGATAGAGATGTGTTCTGCTTTGTCTGAATGTTGATGATTGGCTTTTTGTCGCGAATGTACACTGTTTCAAGTGTGACGAGCCGTCTACGATCCTGACAGTGTGCTAGGATGGATGTGTTGGTCACGAGATCGTCACGTGTGAGTGCGGTGTTGTGATGCTCTGTGTAGTGTTTCTTGGGGGCTCCGTCCTGCAGGTGCATTGTGAGACGTCTGCTCAGAGACGTTGTGGTGTGACCAATGTAGTATACTTCGCGGGTCGCGCAGTCCCCGGCTGTACATTTAAACTGGTATACTACATTGGTCTGCTTGAGTGTTGCCGTGCTGCGTGTGGGATTGTTTTGCATCACCAGTGAGGATGTCTTGGGGCTAGTGTAGTAGACCTGAACTACCAGTCGCTGTTCCCCATCTGTAGGTTGGCAGTTACGGCGAACAATACCGCGGATCACCTGCTCATCCGTCTTCCATGTTGGAGACATCGTGCTGCGGTAGTACACTTTTAGCTCGTCTTTCTTTGTCTTTGGCTCCTTGTTTGTCACATGGTTCTCAAGCATGTTTTTTACAGCGTCGTCAAACATGGAATTGCTGTACCCATTATCTACTAGGATCTTACGAACCCTCTCAAGTTCAGTGTGAAGTAGATCCCAAGTCGAGCAGTGTTTCATGGCCCGTCTAATGTACGCCCTTATGACACCTGATTTGTACGAGTCAGTGACGTCACCCTCCCCATTCATGCACCTGCCGAGGTCAGTGGGCTTCCGATACACATCTGTGACGAATTCACCACTGCTGCAATCAATCATGACGTCCAAAAATGGCAGCTTCTGTCCTACGCTATGGTCAACTGTGAAATTTAAAACTGATTCCTGGCCTAGTTTCATGCGCAGCAGGTCTAACTTTTCAGCATTTTCGACGTCAACAAAAATGTCATCTACATAACGATAGTACATGAACGGTTTGACATCATCACAGAGCAGCACTTTCCTTTCGACATGTAGGCTTGGGCAAACAGAACGCCTAGTGGGGATCCCATTGCGACCCCGTCCACCTGTACATAGAGTTTGCCTTCAGGGCACCTGAACGGCGCCTCCGTTGTGCACGATAGCAGCAACTGCTCCAGGATGCGTTTGGGTAGTCTCGGTGGTGGAAGGGTCTCATGATTGTAGACATACTCAAGAATGATCTCAATAGTCTGCTGAACAGGTACATTAGTGAACAGACTCTCCACATCTAGAGAGGCTAGAGAACCTTTTGGTTTCTGGGACCTAAGAATGTCGACAAATTCATCGGTCGATTGAACAGAGTGCTCAGACGGAATATACGGCGAGATAATCACATTCAGCTGTTTAGCTATCTGGTAAGTGGGAGTCGGGATCTATATATATATATATATATATATATATATATATATATGTGTGTTTAGGGTTATAGCTCATGTACGAAAACAAAAGTGTGTTATTTTGTTTTGAATGCTGTGACTCATCGACTGAATAGTTTTAGTATCATATCCGTAATATTTGTTCCAAAATGTAATTGAACCCATTTATCTCAAAGTATGACTTCTAAAACTGTGTGACTGTAATTTTCTTGAAAATGATCTCTGATAGATCGAAACGTCGAACAACAATATAGCTATGATATTTTGTATTTATGACATCTTTTGGTAATATTTTACATTCTCACGAACCCGAACCTCGACAGTGCATTCGCCGCCTCGAAAGTCTTAATAAGAAGAAGATAAGTGCCCATTATGCTGTTGTGTTTAACAAAACTTGCATATATATATATATATATATATTATATATATATATATATATATATATATATATATATATATATATATATTATATATATATATATATATATATATATATATATATATATATATATATATATATATATATATATATATATATATATATATATATATATATATATATATATATTTTACCCATTCCAAGATGAAAACCTTGTGTACGTTCTTGCCAGTAGGTATATATGTATGGAAAATATCAGTTTTTCCTAATTTTCATTCTTCTTTCCCAAAAATGGCCGCTCTAGCAGGTATGTACAAGACGATAAATGGCAACGTAGGAGGTACACTATGTATAAAACTCACAATGCACACTGCACGCCTTGGCAGATACAATTAATACAGCTTACAATACACGCGAAGTACAGCACCAATTATATCAGCACAAACATCATTGGCAGGCGGCAGCCATGATGGCTCCACTAGTTCCCTCTCCCCCGGTAGCCAATGGATGAACAAATATACTACAAAGTTTGACACATCTTGACGAAGCGCACTTACATCAAATGCGGACAAGTGTGACGTGTGTATGATATACCTGTGGTGGTCATCTGTCAACGGAAAATGCTTTCTTCCAACTGCCTTTTCCATCGACCAATGACCAGTTAATAGACCAATAAACGGAGTCCTGCATCGAGCATTCCGATTATTTTGATAAAGGGATGAGTAAATTTTACCTTCATTCCTTTCACTATATAAGACAACTATCCTTCCGTTGCATGTGTTTTCGGTGGTCTCTTCAGGCCAAACGACGACAGAGACAAATGATAACTGTCATCCCAGGAAAAGCATGGGCGGCACAGCACATGGTAATGATATGACGACAGAACAGAAACATGCCACATTATGCAAACATTATGACTGGTACGACGCATAAAAAGCCTCACGCCGTCTCCACGGCCTTCAGGCCCTAAGTCCGCGGACAAGTCAATTCATAACTTCCGGACTTTGCGAGCACTTGTCGCAGACAACCATCCATAGCTGAAGCACAACATATCACATAGGAACATGGCTTTTCAGCTCTGATTATCGGAGCGGCGTTTTGACTTCACCGCAGCCAAGAATATGGCCCGGCAGTCCAGCTGCAGAGAGCGGGCCCAGCTCGCGACGGCCCGTGGCAGACACTGCTGACTGCATTAGAGCGCTGGCGTCCTCCGCACAGGACAGCTTCATACAACTCTCCACCGACTCGCGACCTTCGCGCACAACCCTGCCCTGACCACCCGCCTATATTCAATCCTTGTTGGTCGCTGCTGGACGGTCGAGACTGCACAACACTCCTGACCGCCTACTCCTACACCGGACGATCCTGCTCCTAAGCAAGACTCCTAATCCCTGACGGCTCGCTCCTACACCACACTCTCCTGATCGGCGCTCCTCACAGTTCGCACTCCGCTGGTGGCCAGCGCTGGCCGACGGGGGTTGAACGTGGCGAATGTCACCACGGGCTGCGAGTCCGCTGGACGTGCCGTTCTCCCAGCGTGACCCGACCGGGGCAGGGTCAGGTCGTCAAACGGCACGCCGCCCTGCACAAATAAAGACATACTGTAAGGTCGGGGAGTTCCCAGTCAAGCAATCGAGTAAGGAAGTACCTAGTCAAACAATCATATACTTAGCAAGGCCGAGCTGTGACCATTATGGTCTTTCTTCACTACGTTTTATTGTACTAGGAAAAGGATACATCAACATCAAACGAACACGGTTGACTTACCTGGTCGCGCCTGCAGCCAATCTGATGGCTCATCGGGCGCGGGGACAGGTTAGGTGAGCCCTTTCGTGGCCAGCTAACACTCAAGTGGTTCAGAAGATGACTCGTTGGAGCCAAGTCGTAGCCCGAATCTGTCGACAGCAACAGCATGCAGCAAACAAGTCATTGCGACCGTCACAAGCTGTGTAGACTGTAGAGACAACAGCTGCTCAAATCTCCATTTGAATCTGTCATATGCTTTTTGCGCTTATCCACGTTATCTCTGCCTATCTACGTTAATGCGTCATCTATATACGCTAATGCAGTTCACTGGTTTACTCAAACATCGATTGATATACCTACCCGCACGGTCTGCTAAAAAGTCCAATCAAGTACCAAGAACAGTTTCTGCAGCTGATTTCAAAGCTCCACTGACCGTGAACGCTCGGGTGCTGGTTGATCTGCAGGCAGTGTCCGCTGGGGATCACGTCTGGGTTCTCCGAGTCGCCCAGCTTGGCCCCGACCACCGTAGGCCGGTCTGGCGCAGGACTCGGGGTCATTCTCTCCTTCAGCATCAGTGAAGAGTGGATCAGGTCGGCCTGGGGCGCCGGCGGCTTGGCCTGGCGACGACTGAAACAGAATGAGGAGTTCCGCTATGGTCAGAACAGCTTCTACAGAACATCTGAGCCTTTTGAATGTGCATCAAGTTATTTAGCAGGCTAGTGACAGGCCCGTCAGCTGATGGAATTCCCTCGTGATATCACAAGAAATGGGCCAGCCGTTCAGGCGATGAACTTCACCTATGAAATAAAGGTGCAGTGCAGTGAGGTCACCGCCCGGGTTCACCGCTTACCTTTACGGACTGAATACAAACCTCTCATAGGTACGCTGGACCTGAAGCCCAGCTGCCCCGTCTGCTGGACCTGTCTCTCACCTGCTGAACCTGTTTCTCACCTGCCGAGTTTGAAGCAGACGACCACGCCGACCGCGATGATGATGAGGGAGGCCACCACGCCGATTAGGATGGCCAGCAGAGGCGTCAACATCAAACCGTGGTCGGGTGGCGCCTCTGGTGACGGAAAGCGCGCTGTCATAAGTTGGTTCTTTCCGTTCTGTTTGTACATCATCAGCGATAATTCACATGTCCTCGAATTAAAGGCGTCACATTGCATAATTATATATTACGTGCATACTGCATATACCTACTCGTAATTTTGTGTCCTGAGCTCCATAAAGATTACGCTGACATGTGGATGACTGTTTCCATGTGAAAGGTCGTGCTCCAAGAAGACCAAGAAACAGTGCTCAAACATCGTAGGAGCCCAGAGACCGCTGTTCCCCAGATCAGATCAGACCTGTTCCAGTGTTGCTGCTGCTGCTGGCGCTGTTGCTGCTGCTGCTACTGCTGCTGCTGATGCGCTTCTCGGCGGCCTTGAGCGTGAAGCCGTCGAGGGTGGTGGGTCTGCTGCGGCCGCGCGCGTTGAAAGCGTACAGACGCACGCGCAGCTCGACGCCGGCCGGCAGCCGCTCGGCCTCGAACTCTGGCCGGCCGGCGCTCAGGTTTCGCTCCAGCCGTCCGGAGGTAGCGTCGTACAGCTCGGCACTGAAGCGCTGCGGCAGGCCGCCGTCAAAGCCGGCCGAGCAGACCACGCGCAGTGACTCGGACGTCTGGTTGACCACCGAACAGTTGTGCACCGGGTCCGGAGGACCTGGCGAGAAATGAAACCAATCAAGACATTGCTGATGAGTGATGACGCATAGGTCGATGTCCTTTCCAACACCATCGCCGTGCCCAAGTACCGTGCTCAGCGATGTCTGCAACTATCTAGGAGCGTCAGTCACTGTCACCCTCTCTCCTGGACCGTTACCTGCGGGTACGATGTGGAAGACACAAGGTCTGGCCATGTGGCCAATGCCATTGTCAGCCGCGCACACCAGTATGCCGTAGTCGAGGTCGGTCTTGGGCGTGTAGAGTGCCCGGCTCCGCATCCCACTGGATGTGATCTGCAAACGCACAGACCTCAACGGGTCAAACCACTGTTGATCAAATCGTGAGGCCCAAATACAAGTCTCCAGAGTGACGCCCCCGACTTGGAAAATCAAACGTGTCTGAGTTGTGGTAAAGCACGAAGTACCAAGAGAATCTGGGTAAAGTAGGTATTTGAAACTAGAGCCATTACTTATCTGGATCAACCGTTTGGAAACGGCTCTATTTCCTGCGACGACCGGAAGGACTAGAAAGGTTAGTCCCATAATTTTTTTAGGTATGGACTGACCTGCGAGAAGGGCAGGTCCAGTGTCTCGATGCTGGTGTTGAACTGCCAGCGGAAGGTGACGTCGGCAGGGTTAGCGTCCACCTGACACGTCACCTGGGCCGGCTCGCTCTTAGCAGTGCCGTACTGAATCTGCTGCTCTGTCACGCACACGGGCGAATCTGCAAAGGCAAAGCTAAGTTATCGAAAGTGGATGATGAGCCATAGGCGTAGGAACGTTTTCGAAAGTGGGGGGGCCAGGCTCCCAGAGGTCTAAAACCTAACCTACCCCCAAAATCCAATTTCTCCTCGGATTTCGGCCACTTTGTTTTCGCAAACATGCTCAGAGGTAAAAAAAAAAATCGAGACAAAACCAAAAATAAAAGTAGTTAAATTTCAGGGAGAGTCCCGTCCATAAACTCAAACTGATTGACGCGCTCTCCTGTCCTCCGCAGCCGTTGGCACCCATGCAAATTCCAGAGGCATCCAGCAGCTTTTTCATTAAGAGCAAGCGTGAAATGTGCAAAGCGAGTCTTTTCAATATACCTATAAAAATCAGCATGAACGGCCCAGTTAGGCTCAGCCAGGCCTGTAACGTTTTTAAGAGGTTTTATATTAGCGACCACTGCAACTGGGCTGATTGACTGTCAGAGGCCGGTGTGGGACTTTTAGAGGCCGGTCTGGGCCCTCTGAGGCCGTTTAACACTCGCCGGCCCGGACCTATAAGTTTTCTACATACGCGACGGCCGAGGGGGCGGGGAGCAGGTACGACCCCCCTTGCCGTTTCGCCTAAGGTGGAGCTAGCGCGTCGCGGAAAAAACGAGCGTGTGCGCCGTTACGAGACGCAGCGATACCCGAGGCTCAGGCGATACCCGATTCTAAGGTCCTAGGTCAACCGTTGACCTGAGGTCAAGCCAAGTGCCTCAAGGCACAGTTCCATTTTTGGTGAATAACTTCGCAAAAAAACGGCCACAGAGCCGCAATTTTGCCAGCATCGTGTTAGCCTCTCTCAGGCGCGTCGAATGATATACTTTTTGTTTGGGTGAGGTAAAATTAGAGTGTTGACTTCGGGTCACGGTCAGGTCAGCGCTCCCAGGTCACGAAATTGGTCGAATGAGGTCATGTCTCATGGCCTTCGATTCGGAAGGTCTTCCTGAGTCCAATGGTGGCTTTCCCGACTCGCTAGCTCAATTTGATCGGTAGTTATTGACGAAAAACTAAAATCACCCTTATAACGTCATGAATGACGTCGCGCAAGGTCAACATTGCAAAAGTGACGCATCGAACCTTGCAAGGAGTGCATGAAATCACGATTCGGTGTGCTTGAGGTAGTTGAAGATCGTTCCCGGCGCCAGAAAAAAGTTTTCAGTTTATCCCTATTGACTTATACCTAATGGTGAGGTCACGAAAATGACCTGACCTCATATGACCTTAAGAAAATCCGAGATGTACAAGTTGTGAGACTCCTAATGGATACTAGGTCCTGCAAGGTTCATTTCCCTGTGAAATCTCCTCTGACAGTGAGGGCGAAGTTGCGACATCTGAAGATCGTGCAGAGGTTCACTTATGACCTCATAGGTCAGTGACCTGATCTGACCCGAAAATGCGGTTGGTGTCAAAAGATCCGGCTTGATTCAAAGGTCAGGTATACCAAGCTTCAGCTCTCTATCACCGGCGTGTTCGGAGCTATCGCGAAAAAAAAACTGTATGGAGGGGCGGCACCCCCCTCGGCCGGCGAGGGTTAAGGCCCTCAGAGACCAGTACAGGGCCTGCAAAGAGCAGTTTGAGACCTTAATGCCGACTTGGGCCATCAGAGGCTAATGTGGGTCCTTACAGGACAGCATGGGCCCTCAGAGGTCAGTGTGGGACCCTAAAATGCCGGCATGGGCCGGCGTTGGACCCCAGAGGCCAGCAGAAGGCCCTCAAAAACCAAGATGGGCCTCTGAGGCCAGCATCGGTCTTCAGAATCCAGTGCAAGGCCCTCACTCAGAGGCTAATGTGGGTCCTTACAGGCCAGCATGGGCCCTTAGAGGTCAGTGTGGGACCGTAACAGACCGGCATGGGCCGGCGTTGGACCCCTAAGGCCAAGATGGACCATCAGAGGCCGATGCAGACCCTTAGAGGCCGGCATCGGGTCTCCAGAATTCAGTGCGGGGCCCTCAGAGGCACCTAAAGGCAAGTCTTGGGACCCCAGAGACAGAAATGAGGCCACCAGAGGCCGGTGTGAGGCCCTCAGACGTCGGCTGGGCCCTTGAGGCCGGTTTAGGGGCCCTCAAATGCCAGTGGAGGACCCTCAGAGGTCAATGTGGGTTCTCAGTGGTCAATGTGGGCGCTTGACCGCCATTGAAGGGCCCTCCGAGATCAGTGTAGGACCCTCAAAGACTGGTTTGGAAGCTGTTAATAGCTGGCGTGGGATTCTTGAGCCTCGTGATAATCGAATAAGTGCCAGAGCCCCATACGCCCATGGGGGCCCATTGTTTGTTTGGGGGGGGGGGTGGGGGCAAATGGAGGGGCAGATACAGACATTGCTAGCCCCCAGCCTGTTTCAACCGAGGCGGGGGCATGGTCACCCTGGCCCCCAGCTAGTACGCCTTTGACGAACTATGCCGACCCCATGAAGCAGATCTGGTCAAGCGTTGGTCGTTTGTATACGCATTCTCCTGCACCGTGCTAGTATTGTCTTACCTATACCCTTTCAGTGCTCGCTGTCCCGTGCATCGTAATCAGCAAAATGCTGCGGCACCAGGACTCACAGTCTTGTCTCTGATATGGTTTTCTTCATTGAGTGAAGGAAATTGCGGTCAATAACGCTGTAGAAACCAAAGGGAATCTTCACCAAAGGGCAAGCTGAATAGTTGTCAAGTTCTGGTGTTTAGGGTACCGGGCGGTAGGTACAGATAGACACTTAGTCAGCAAAAAGTGGGGGGCCAGTTAACATTGCTGGCCCCCCCACCTCCGAAAGTGGGGGGGCCATGGCCCCCCGGCCCCCCCCCCCCCTGTTCCTACGCCTATGTGATGAGCTGTGATAAACTCTTAGAGTTGAACTGAACTAGGCAGAACACCACTTCTGGGGATGACGAATCACTTGGTGCTGCCATCTTGACTACATTGAACGCTACGAAGCCCGTCCTCGAGACGAAGCGACTAACAGGGCTTAGGTCATACAAATAAGAGTAACCGCGGCTACCTACTTCTGAACCAGATACAGATCCGACGCAGCCCTAAACAACGAATAACAAATAGCAAAAGAATGGCGGCCTAAATGACGTTCCCAATCCCACTTAGTATCCACATGAGGATAGCTTCCTGGAAATGTACTGCCTAGAGGCCGCAAGTTTGACGCAGCAGTTCAATTATGTAATTGCATGGGGAATACCTAACAAGGCCCCCACTCCTGACTGGGGCCAGAGCGATAATCGCCTTCGTGAGTGGGAAAAGTTCGGTCACCCGGGCAGGAGCCATCGGCAAACGGGAATGCCAATGGGTCTGCAGCTATCATGGGTCCAAAGCCAGCTATCGATGAACACCTTCGCGGGATTGCTCTGTATTCGTGCCGTGTGGGCAGCGGTGTCGTTAGTAATGATTATTATTTCACTACAAGACATCAATGTCCAATATAATTCTATACATTGCGAACTTATGAATGGAAGCAATGAAATAAAGCAGTAGAAAAAGTTGATTACTTTCAGTCTTATTTACTGCCTTTGACTTCGAGAAAATTCGAGCACCGTATACTTACACAGCACAGCCATGTGTATGGGCCGGCTGTCCGTTTCTCCCTCTGGGTTGACCGCACGGCACACGTATCGTCCTGCCGAGCGTCGCGTCAGGTTCCGGATCACCAGACTGTGTCCGTTGATACTGACAATGTCGGCCTCAACAGAGGGAAGACTGGGCACTATCGGACGGTCCTGGAACGGAAACACAGATCATTACAGTGGCAGAAGCTTATTAGCTTATTGTTGTTACAGACTAGCCTATCGCACGGTTATTTTCGTGCAGTTTATTTATTCCACCTATCTATACCTTGCTATAATACACAACACTCGCTCGTGCGACGCAGTCATCATCCCTTCATGAGAAAGGGTCGAATTAGGCCTCTATGTAACAGGCTTCAATTACCTACATCCAAAACGTTTTGATGACATGGTTATCCAACACTGAAAGAGCGTTTAAAAACCTTTAAATATTTCCTCTACAATACCGGCATCCGGCATAACTCAGTGACCAAGGTCAGTTATGTCACTGTGAGGTACCTAGTGCTTGCGTAGTTTGAAAGCAGTGTAGTACTGGCAAGGTCGGCTTCACGCAATGAAAGGAGAAGGAAGGCCATCTTTCACGTCAGCGCAGCTGAGTGGGGAACTTCGTCTCCTGCGTTATCTCCAGCGGGCAGACAACAGGAGCCGCACACCACCAAGAAGGACCCACACACCCTCCCCTGTGGTGATGCAGCTGCTGACATGCGTACTAAGCATTCCCGAGGGATAGGTTCGAAGACAAGACGCATATCAGACGCATATCTGCATATCATACACGGTGAAACATTCTTTATAATCATGTCGTTTTCATATCCCGCGCCGGGCCGGTGCTCTGAGATTCCGCGCCGGGCCGCGGGGGGTGTCTGAACACCCCCCCCCTTCTAACTCGGCTCCTAGGCCACGTAGCGACACGCGGTAAGCGGCAATCGAAAGAACGTCAAAAATAAGGTCGAAAACACTTCAGCCATTTTTTGGGTCAGGAGTCAGGTCAAAGGTCAGGTCACCAGAGGTCACCAAAGGTAAAATGTTGACTATTTCAACATTTTGGAAACTGCCAACGGCTATCTCGGGAACCGATAGAGCTACAGTGCCGCAAAAAGCGCATTCGATAGCCCTTTTACAGACCTTTCTGAGAAATGTTCTCAGATTTGACCTCAGGTCAACGGTTTAGTCTCCAGAGGGCAAAAACTCCAAAAATAGCCGTTTTTACGAAAAACGTTTTTTTCGGCAATAACTTTTGACTCAAAAGAGCTATGACATTACTTTTGCCAGCATCGTGTTCCTCTCGTCGAGACGCGTCGAATGTTTGACCTTGAAAGGTCAACTTGAAAATTTGACCTCAGGTCAAGGTCATGACCTGACCGGAAAAGGTCATGTTACATATCAGTCGCTCTGCAACGTCGAGCCGAACACATCTAAGGCGTTTTCAGCGCTCTAGCACGCCTCTATCAGAAGTTATCATCGAAAAACTGTTAGATTCTGTCAGACTTCAGAGGTGGATCTAGCTCAGAGTTTTTTTTTTGGGGGGGGGGGCAAACCATAACAATTTATCGATTCTTTCCATGCATCGCCCATAGGCGTAATCTTAAAATTATGCCGTTGGGGGGGGGGCAAATGCCCATTTTGCCCCCCCCCCTGGATCCGCCACTGGATTCTGTTCGTGACCTGAGATGACCTCGAGGACATAACGAGGGGTCACAGCTGCCATTTTCTGGTTCAGTGTGTCTATTCTACCTACATCTCGATGTTTGACAGTGTCTAGAATAGCGTTCGTGCAAAACAGACGCTTTTCAATTTTCCCCCATTGACTGATAATGGAGAGGCCGCAAAATTGACCTGACCTTAGGTCACCGATATCAAAATTCCGAGATATACATTATTTTAGATAGTGTTGCTCTAATCAATCGCTGAAAGTTTCAAGGCAATCGTTCAGTCGGTGTAGCTATGACGAGCATTCTTATTTTTTTCTGAGGTGAGGTCACTTGGCGTGACCTGGTGACCTGACCTAAGGTGACCTGGGTCTGAAATTTTCACAACATGTGCGGAAAAGATGCACGAACAGGTGTGCCAAAAACCGCAAGTGGGGGGGGGGGGGTGTTCAAACACCCCCCCCCCCCGGCCCGGCGCGGGATATGCTATATGCTCAAATTTAATCATTTGTGCGTAAAATGTGTGGAACAGTTATCAAAACATCAGAAATGATCCAGACCTATAAAGCAAAACTTAAAAATATTTACATACAAACAATTTTTTTTTGCAGCACTGCCGACGACACATTTCTATTTTCCTGATTGCGAATGAAAAACACGCCTCTGCATAAGAGATCAGATTGACCATTCACTTAAAATGGTTGACGTTAACAAAAGCTTATGTCAGAACACGATTTATGCTTGGATGCAAGTCCCCCTTGTTTTTCAGTCGCTGAGAGTAATAGCAAAATGAAGGGTGCGCCGGCAGCCGCTCCCTTGCTCCTACTAAGGAACTGCCGCGCATCCCTTCCAAGCCATCGCCCCCAGTTTCCAACAGCGCTGTTTACCGTGGCTCTACCGTCGCAGCAACACCAGCATGCAGAGGGTTGTCTGAGTGAGAGACGCTGTCCAGGCAGACAATTGGTGCAGGGTAGGAGTCACCCAAACAAACAGACCAAAGAAAGAATGAGAGAGACACCCCGGCCGGCAATTGATTAGAAACATAAAGATACCTCAATGCAGACAGTGGATGGCGATTACAAACAGTTGACGGGCGGGTTTGGAGGGACATTCCCCTTCCTTTCCCCCGATAAACAGTCCGACCGGGGAGGACGGAGACTGGCGTGGCGGCAGAGCAGCCCTGCGGCGTACCCAGCCGGCCGTATCCGGTCGTTCTCCGTCGGCCGGCCGGCCCTAAACCCTGATAGTGCTGGAATCCCGGCCCCGGCCGTGTCATGACGTGCTCGGCGGTCGCATCCGGTGGCCGGCGCGCTCGTAAGCCGCGCCGCCACCGTCGCTTTATCTTGAGAGCGCCATAAATCGACGCGCCTGGTGCGGCTTAACCTCGCCACAGCCGCATCATCTTCGCCGCAGAGATTTTCCGGCTGCAGTGAGCGCCACTGAGGCCCCTGGGCCGCCGCGATGACCGGAAGACGACTCACATACACAGCGGAGCTGATGGATCGGATAAAGGCCGTGACATCGGACGCCTGGGGCAGGTGCCTAACGATGTTCGTTCTCAGGAATGACTGTCTGTTGGACTGTATGATTATACACATGCAAATTATATGCATGATTAGTCTGGATAAATGTAGGCACCTTTCCAGCGATGTGAAATTGATTGTTTTCTAGACATTTTGTTGTGCCGTTTGATCGCAGTATTTATGCTGCGAATGCCAAACATCCGTCGGTTACTCACGTTATGTAGCCAGCTCAGGCTGTAAATGACGGGATTGGCCTTGATGTCACACTCGAAGTAGACGTCCTGGCCTTCCCGTATGTTCTTTGGGTCCAGAGACGGACCCAATCGCAAACTCACGATGGGAGCGACTGAAACGACACAAAACGCCCGTCAGCGCACAGCACGTTAATACATGTATTCAAATACCAATCAAGATAGAAGTGATGGGCAACAGGGACAACCACAGCAAATACAGCATAACAAGTTTGATGCTTTTAAACCTGGAAATAAGAAATTCACTTTGTAACAATATTGCGCGCACTTCCTTAAAATTATTTTCGGCATTGATTTGCGAGACATGAAACTTTGCATTCAATTTAGCGCTGAGTATTCAGTGCCTACCGAACGACGAACATTTATAGACAAGGACTCAATTTTCCTTTTTGGAGATTGGAGGACCTAAATAACATCCCTTCGATTTTAGATTAATCTTCTGAACTTCCGGAATGGGACAAAGTTTTCATTTTGTATATTTACTTGTGCTTATAACAATCATTTCCTTTTACGGCTTGCGACATTTGAAGAGGTTGAGCCTGCTTGCAGCCAACAATATACAATTCCAACTGATGGGATATAGTCTTTTAGCTCGATTATGTTCGGCCAGCTCATCTAGGATAATTCGGTTTCTAGTGAAGCTCCAACATTGGCATCCCTAATGATGTATTTGAGTTCATTTCATTGTATCCGTGGGACAAACAAAACAGAGAACGTATGCAGTGGTGGACTTGCTACCAAAGTTGACCTTCAATCCTAGCGTAACCCCAAAACCAAACCAGAACAGACAGACTGTTACTGCGTGACTCTGGCCAACTAGCACTGACCCCGCCAAATGACCGCCGAGCAACCGTGTGGACGGGGTCCCTGGGCTTGGAATGACTTAATTAGTACTTCCCTTTTAACTATGTGACAAAATTGACGACTGGAATTCAACGCTGACAATTAAATGCGGTCAAATAATAGGCGTTATTACATAAGTTACCTATCATGCAGCAGGCGACATTTCATATCATAACTGAACCACGCTTTGCGTCCACTCACAGCGCACGTTGAGCACCCTGCTGTCCTCGAGGACTCCGTCCCTGACCAGACGGTTCTCTGCTCGACAGCGGAGGAACCGGCCGTTGTCTGCCGCAGTGGGCGTGAAAGGCAGAGTGCTGCTCGTGATGTTACCCTGGCTCATCTCCTGTGGACACCGGGGCGCTGAGGTCACCGCACAGCCGCCGGTCAGCCTCGGCGGAGTGTGCTGCTGTATCTGTAAACAATGAATGTGTAATGCTTCACCGTGTGCGTTGAACATAAGAGCATGTTTTCCAACATTGACAGAGCCAAAGCTAATCATACATATTATATAGTCACTGTATTGATGCCATCATATTTCGGTTAAAAAGTGTTGGGTGCCAGAGTCGGTCATTTTTAGGTGGCAACCTGCAATTGATGACCACAATATTTTCAGCCGTGCCAATGAGCCCCGCGAATTGCATTTCACCCTGCCAATGCAATGGTCCATCAATCGGCGTCAGTGTGGCACGATCTCTCATTTACGGCACAGCAAGATAAATATCGTCAGCCGCGGCGCAAAATCACAATTCCATGCGACATTGCCCGGGGGGTCGGCGATAAATGCCACAGACGGACACTCCGCCATACGTTAGGGCCGCCGCCCAATGGACTCGTGCCGCGGAGGGCTGTTTGCTTCGGCTGGTTCGTCGTGTCAGAGCGGCCGGTCGCGGCTCTAGCACCGGGGTCGTGAACACTAATGGCGCTGGGTCACGCCATACTAGAGCGATGATCTGAGGCGGAAAACAGGGACGGTCCCGGCACCTGACACCTGTCACCCAAGGTCACGGGACTGCCTCATCACAAAGAACGTAACCAGGCAGAACATTATGTAATGCGTATCAAAATAAACCTAGCTTTCTATCTAAAACTAAGTTATAATTCGGTTAGTCGGAAATCTTTCTCGTATTTCTCATGCATGCAAATATCCTACTTTCTGCTACTTATATCACTCCTTCACAAATAAAACAAATTTATAATATTCCCAATTTATAGCACACTCCAAGTTCCAACCATTCCCTCGGCGGAGGCCAGGATTTCCCCCACCATGAGCGCGTTTCTGGTGATGTGTGGCAAACTGTCCGTCCCTTACCATGAGCGTGTCTCCGGTGAGTCGTCGTTGCCCAATCCACCAGGTGACATTGGCCGGTGGTCGAGAGCCCACGATGTGACACACCAGCTCGTACGGATGGCCGGGCTCCAGCGAGGTCTGTGCGGAGCCCAGGATTGACACCGACAGCGGCCGGACTGCGAAACGGAGAGGGAGAGGTCAGAGATGAACGGATCGACACTGGACAGTAGGTAACTGAACTGCGAATTAGAGAGACGGGAGGTCAAAAACGAACGGATCGACATTCGAAATAGACTGTACTCACGTAGCAGGACTGACAACCGGAGAGAGGGTAGGTCAGAGACGGACAAATCGGTGACGGCTGTACGATCGATATTGGACTCGCCGAATGGCGGGGTGTCGGGCAGTCCTCGAAGGCTTGCTCAATGCTCAGTGCTGCTGTTTAATGCTCAGTATTCAGCGCTCATTGTTGACTTTTTCAGTACTCTGAGCTGCTGGGACAAAACAGCGGCATCAGCGGCATCGCCGGTGGCTGGCCACTGTAATACGCCCCGGCACCCGTCTGATGGAATGATATCCTGTTGCACAGATCTGAAGGAAGTGACTCTAATGGCAATCACTGCGCGCTGGAGAAATACCCGTCGGCTCGCCACCTGCCTGCGGAGGCGTGCGGCTAGGAGGCGTCCAACACGGTATCGAGCCGGCGCCGCCCGCCCGCCGCCTCGGTCGGGAATGAGATATGAAGTTTCCTGTTTTCTTTGCGGTCGCGTGGGAAGGTAAATGGAATTCGCTGATGCGATCGAGCGCACTTTCAGCAGAGGTGTAAAACAAGAATGAGAGGCCGGGAAGCCTATTGATGGTGTCCCTTATGATGAGAATTGATAACTTATCAGTCTATGTCACACATGCCTCAGGTAAAGGTGATTTCCGTTGCGTTTCCTGACAAAAGACCTTTGGTATAGCTTATCAAAAACTTAATTTTAGATCTGTTCACGATATTTTTCATAAAATTGCTTTATCCATTTTCAAACGTTTCGACTTTATTCAAAGTCATCTTCAGTGTTAAGATAGACAAGTACACAATTACATGCTGACATAAATATACAAGCAGTCGATGCAGGGTATCAGTCGATGCACATCACACACTTCACAAAAACAAGACATAAAACATCATTCGTGTTGGTTCGGTCGTCTTCCTACAGAACGATACTTAGTTTAAACGCAGATGATCGGTCATTGATGGTCGGTTTCGCTTCAAATATGTGTAAAGATTCTAAAATTCGTAAATTGAAGTTTGAGCGTTTTTGATCTATGATTTTGAAATCGTCTATACTGAAGGGGGTGTCACATGCCAAAGAATGATCCCGTACAGACGATGCTACTGGACTGGATAAGAGTTCGCCCGTTCTGTGTGACCTACCCTTGTGTTGACAAACTCTGCTGTGGAGCCTAACATAGGTAGAACCTATGTAAGATCCTTCACACGAAGGACAACTGAACTTATAAACTACAGCAGATCGACACATTTTAGGGATAGAGTCCTTGAACTTGAACAGAGATCCAATAGTGAAGTTGTTTCTGAGAATGAATCGCGGGCTTAGATATGGGTAGTACTTTTGTAGGAGAGCGCTTATTTCATTTTTGAGCTTAATTGAGCGTTTTCCGAAAAACGGCAAAGTGAAAAAGCTTTCGAGTTTTTCAACCTGTGGTTGATTTGTGATAGTAATGAACCTTCTGTTAACCCTATTAGTGGCAGGCTCCTGGCTACCCTTATTAGTGGCAGGGGGGGGGGGCTGTTTACGACCCCCCCTTGATATCTCGAGATCTAACGGGCCGATTTTCAAAATTCAAACGGCATTCGATTTCGCTCAACGTGATCTACATTTCTAAAAAATAAAATTAAAAAATGTCAATAGGGGGGGGGGGGTAGAGGGGGGTAAAAACGGGCAAATTGCAGATACATTTTAGACTGTTTATCACGGCCAGGTTTCTGAACCAATCTTAACGCAACTTTTGCCGATCGATAGAGAATGAACCAGAAATTCACATGGATCCTAAAAATATGCATTTTCAAAAATCATAGGCGGATACAGATCATTGAGATTGGGGGTACACAAAAAGTATAGTAAATAAGGTTTTTGTTGGGACTGTTTCTAAAAAGGGTGGTAATGGTCTTGTCATGTTACAATTTTCTTATGAAAGAACGACTACAATTGTGTTGGTCATGCATAGGCGGTGTCAGGGCACCTATGTTGGGAGGTAAAACATAACCCCCCTTTTTGGACGCCTGGATCCGCCTATTATAGCAAAAACGTGTCAAAAGAGGATGCACAATAACTGTATATGTTATCACATGATACCTTTCATTCACTGTTCGTAAAACTGGTGCAGCGTCGTGATCTTCGCCCAAATGACTCGCTTCACGAATAGGACCCCCCAATTCCCAGTGCTCTGGAGCCGCCCCTGGTAAAGTTATGAACTTGAAATTTTCAGGAAATGTGCCCAATTTAGTTTTAGGAAAAGTCAGAAAATTTCAGCATCGTAGCTTCAGCGGTTTCGGAGATATTCCCGAAAAACCTGAGGGGTGGATAAAAACAACCCCCCCCCCCCTGCCACTAATAGGGTTAAGAAACTTGGCAATGGCGGCATCTACCAACGACCTTGGGTAACCGTTATCCAAGAAAAAACCTTTCAGGGATCTTAGCTCTAGATCGAAGAGCTTGTAGCTCGAGAATAAACGGTAGGCGCGATAAATAAATGACTGGATGACTGCCCACTTGATGGAAAATGGGACGAAACTAAAGAAGCTCAATCCTAGTCCGGTAAAGGTAGGCTTGTGGAAAACGGAAGTCTCAATAGAAGAGCCAATACGTTTTATCTTGACATCCAAAAAGGGTAGCGTTTGGTTGGACTCTACTTCTTTGGTGAACTTAATCTTTGGATGCTGCTCGTTAAGGAAGGATAAAAACTTTTCTACATGAGTGACGTGTCGAAAGACCAGAAAACAATCATCAACATACCTCCTATACAGGACAGGACGAAATTCAGAAGGGCAGGTAGTAAGCCAATTCTTCTCATGAAAGCATAAGAAAATGTTGGCAAAGGTAGGGCCAAGTGGTAGGCCCATCCCTACGCCGTCAAGTTGTTGGTACAACTGTCCGTTGAAAAGGAAAAACGAGTTGGTTACTGACAAATCTAACATTGAGCGGAATAGTTTCCGAGGGATGCCACTGACGCTGTCAGTCTGGCTGAAGAGAGAGTTGATTGCTATGTCAACCGTTTCACCTACAGGTATGTTAGTAAACAAACTTTCAATGTCAAAACTGGCCATAACCATATCTTCGGAAAATGTGAAAGTTTTTAAATCCGTGACGAACTCGTAGCTGTTTTTAACGGTAAATTCATTCTCAGTAAGGGGAGCAAGAATTGGAACTAAGAACTTCGCGAGGGCGTAAGTAGCAGTGCCACAAGCTCTGAAAATGGGACGAAGAGGTAAGTTCGGTTTGTGGATCTTAGGTTTACTGTATGCCTGGCCTATTCAAATACATTAGCATGAGGGGTGTGGTAATAACTGGTGTAAGCAAAGTGACCACGGTCAAAAATGCATTACCAAGTCAACATTTTGGGATGGCCTCGTTCAAAAAACGGCTAAGAGCTTCGGTCTAGACAATTATTTTATCGTTGGCATACAGTAAAATACATACCAAACTCGGCCGGTGATAAATTTTCAAGACCTCAGTCCTAACTGATTTTTGAACTCGGCCTTCGGCCTCGTTCAAAAATTCAGTAAGGACCTCGGTCTTGAAAATTTATTTACACCGGCCTCGTTCAGTATTATATAAGACCATATAGGATACCTGGCGAGGACCCAGACGCATACAGTTCGTTGTACGTATGTTCGGTAATAGCACATGCTTTTTTCAACTTGCTGAGCAGCCTATTAACTTTATCTTCTACACGTAATAACAGTTTGTGAAGTGGCTCATTCACAAGACAAAACTTAGTGCGATCTGACAGTATCTTTGTAATCTTTGCTAGATATTGAGCTTTATCTAAAATCACGACCCCCCTCCCCTTGTCAGGTCTAGTTACCACAATAGAAGAGTCAGATGCAAAATCCTTCAAAGTCTTGACATCATTTTTGGAAAATATTGGTGAAAACACTCTGGACGGACGAAACGTGTTGAAAAACTTGTAACTCACGGTACGAATCTGCTGCTTGACATCTTGAAAATCAAATCTTGAAGGGAGTGACAAAGACGATAACTTCTGGACGAGTGTCTCGAAATGAAGGAAATATCCATGAAAGCTGATCTTCCACACAGGTAGCTTGAATTCTAAGCCAAATGCAAGTAGGGTCTTGAGCCGAGTTGGTATAGGCTTCGATGAAAAGTTGAAAATGACTCTATCGGGATCGCAAGGCCGTAGACTGTTGTCAATTCCGATTCTGTGTAGTTTCCGATGATGAACAGCCTCATGATTCTTCCGAAATGTAGCTACAATGTTTCGGGTAATGTTCAGAAGCCAGTAATACTTAAAGAGAGAAAGAGTCTTCCTGAGATCTCCACGCTGAGCATCACAGTCATGCTTCAACTTCTCAGCGCGTTTCCTTTTGAACTGTATTTCTTGGTCGAGTAATTTGTTTTGCCATGATTTGTAAAACGCTGAAGATTGTAGGGACTTTGGCTGAAGATTGTAGGGATGCTCGCTTCGCTCGCTCCGTAATTACGGAGCGAGCGAAGCGAGCGTAGTCTTTCCTTAGATTAGGGTCATTCCATGTCAACCGGGACAGCCAAAATCGGCCACCTCTGCGATTTCGTTCAAACTTGGTATACTTATTGGCTATTGGGTGAAACCTCTGAGGGTGAAAGGATTTTGTCATATGCCCTCGGGCTACAGAGATACAAGTCGCTAAACTTCTGCTTTTTGAGCAGAATTGGACGTGTATTGCAATCTTCAAAGATCTATAGCTTCAACATTTTTGAAGCTATCCATGTCAAACAAACTGAAACCTGTACATAAGGAGTTATGCTAGTAAAATTTGACAATTTTTACATTTTTTGGTGATTTTGAATTTATTTTATTTTGAATTAATTTCTTAAAATGTAATTTGTGAAAAATGGGTACCCTTCGATTTTGCTCAAATTTAGATATTGTCTTCCACTACACGTAAGGCACATGTGCTGAGAAAATTAGAGTGAGCCAAAGATAACTTTGGATGATATAGCAACAAGTAGTGCAACGTAGCACGGGCGGTGGAAGGGGCCGATTTCGCTAACTCCACCTGTTTATCGCCAATAACTCACGCCATAATTATTATATTAACGTCAAACTTTCAGTAGCTGTCCAGAATTGAATTGCAAATCCTCCCGTGCAAGAAATAGGTAAATCGGTCCACAACTTTTCTAGTAATAGCGGTGTAAAGTCAAACATTCCTGCCGGAGCGGCTCGGCGGCCGGCGCCGGCCGTTGCCGCCTGAATGGTAGACTGTGCCGGCGCGGGACGGTTCCATCTTTGCACCGCGCTTCTTACCGCTGATTATGATCGATTCGTGTCAAATTTTGTGTGAAGGCTTAAAAATGTACAGGCAATCTAATGTTCAAATAAATACGAAAATCAACTGGTAAAATTAAATTATTAGGGTGCAAACACAATATGTGACTATGACGTTTCCCGCGTCGGCCGATCCCCGCCTCTGCCGACGACATCTTACTCTTAGCAAGCCACCAACTGCCAAATTTATGGTAAGATTAACTGGAGATTCTCATAACACTACGAATGTCGTATAAAGGAAGAAATAGGAAAATCGGCCAGTATCTCTTAGAGCTATGGGCGTATAAACGCAAAATAGTCACTATAGCAAATTTGATCACGTTTAACCTCATTTGGTCTTGAATAGGTATATTGATCTAGGGCCATGAAATTAGCACACGATTAAGTTCCCCACCACCCCACATACAATTCAAATTCCGTTTTTTTTTTAATTCCCTTTTTTGCTAAACCGGGCTTTTCTCCCCTAGCGCTGGGAGAGTCAGGCGTATTTTCTTTTTGCAACCAAAGAGAGGCGCTGCCAGGAGAATGGCCAATTTCATCATTAAAAACTGGCTTACGATGACCAGCTATCTTCGTGGATTAGTAGTAAGTGTGCCGAGTGTACCCACCTCGAAATCAAAAGGTCGCTGGCTCGCAGCGGGTCAGCCTTAAGTGTTAAACACGCCTGGCCAGCCGGCAACTGTCGTGAGGGGCGAGGGCTAATGTTCGTATCTATGTAGGTAGCATTTGGCCAGTCGGCAACTGCCGTGAGGGCTGTACATATTAACGCGTGTTAGATTAGGTACATATTAACGCGTGTTAGATTAGGTCAGGTCACGTCAGGTCAGGTTAGGTTTGCTTTGGTTTGGGGTAGAAAGAAGCATCTCCGGGTAGCGCCTTTCCTTGGTTGCTAAAACGAAACACGCGAGTGCCAGACATTACGAAATCCAAAAGACAGTTACGTAGACGTCAGCCCATTCTGGATTTTTTATATGATGTAGCTTATGTATAGGAGAATAAAATATGTAAAAATCAGCAAAATCGAAGGGTACCCATTTTTCAGAAAATCAAAATTTATTTTTTGAATTTTAATTAAGTTCACTAATTAGTTAATTACGTCAGTATTGTTATCCTCAAATTGAAGCCTGACCTATTCCCTCCATTTCACACTTTGTCTCGTGGTGATATGTCTAAAACTTAAATGGTTATGACGCTTTAAAGATGATAATGTGCCTTGCCTAAGTCAATGTTTGTTGACGTGAATCTCGGAAACGTGACGTCATATCTTGACAAAAATATGTCTCCCTTCTTTTCACATATAGATGAGTAGTTTCACAAAGTTTCGCAAAAATCGGAGGAGGTGAGGTTCAAAATGATCATTTTTTGTCCCAATTGACGTGGAATGCCCCATTAACGGAAATTTCTAAGTATGAGCGGCCGGCCGTGCGGACGCTTTTGCGAGGCTTATATCTCAGTAACCACTTGACCGATTTACACGGGGTAATTTTTGTAGGGTAGCTTCATTTTTTCTACTAAGTATTGGACTATTCCCGATGCATGTGGGTGACCCCTTATGCACGTGCCACGTGCAAAACGAAGAGGTGTCAGTTTTGTAATTGTTGCAATATCTCGGTAACTACTTGACCGATTGCGCTGAAAGTTGGCATGTAGGTAGGCACCCACTAGGCACTGCATATCCATGTGCCAGAGTTGGGGTGCTGCTGCACGTGCGCACGTGCAGGGGTCCTTTCCAGATCTCGAGAACGGCTGGACCGATGGCGCTCAAATTTGGTACACGGTTAGGTACCAGTTAGTAGGGTGCCGTGCACAAGTCAGTTGGGACCCATTCTCATGCACGTGCGCACGTGCAGGGTGCCGCATCCAGATCTCGAGAATGGCTGGGCCGATTGTGCTCAAATTTGGCACATCGCTAGAGACCGGTTAGTAGGGTGCCGACTACAAGTCAGTTGGAGGTACCCCCTCGAAATTTCGCACGTGCAAGGCTCACCCTCTCGCTCGCTCCGTTAGTCGCCCCAAAAGGCGCTATACTGGTCTACTGCTAAGCCCTCGCCCGCACATGGGGGGGGGGTGGTTGCCACTCCCCCCCCCAGGTAGTCTTTCTGCTCTGCACTCAACATTTTTAGAGCTAGAAGGCTGATTTTTCGTATAGCTGCTCCTCTATCCTTTCTTGAGGTCCACTGAAAATTTCAAGTTTCTGTGATTTTTGGTTTCGGAGATATGACCTTGTTTTTCAGGTCATGTCATGACCCAAATGGCCAATTCTCAACATCTTGCGCCTGCCATGGGCCTTGTGAGCTTTTGACACCCTGATTTCGGCCTTTTTTGCCAGTCTTACCTCCCACCTATCATGGAACATGTTGTTCGACGATGTACAGGGGTCAAGGTCAGGGTCAAGGTCAACCTAGGTCATCTAAGATAATTGCGTTTTAGGCAAGCTGAATTTACTTTTTGTGAAGTTTTTTGACTGCATTTTTGGTAAAAGCTTCTCAGATCATGATTTCATGTAATATGGACCCAAAAACAATCGGTGCACACATCAGTATACACACAGACACACACAGACATACAAACACATATAATTGACCTTGACCTAACTTGACCTGAAATGACCTCAGCAGCAAAATTCTGGTCGGGTAGTGTGACAAAGAGGTTCTAGCTGGCTTGGCACCAGAAAACAGCATCGTCATCGGTATTTGATAAGCAGCGCACTTGATATCCAACGGTGACCCAAAACAGCAACATTTTTTAGTTTGACCTGACCTGGAAGGTCAATGACTGACCTGAGAAGGTAAAACTGGGTATCATTGGATTCATCTCTTCCCAAAGAATCTTTTTGGTCTTTACCGATAAGCTCTATCTCCAACAGGAACGAAATGGCGCGGGGGGGGGTGGCAACCACCCCCCCCCCATGTGCGTTCTAGGATGGGAAAATGGCATGTGCGGGCGAGGGCTAGATGAGACTGAGAGTTACGGCACACTCAAAATAGCATGGGTCGAGCAGAGATTCCAATTCTTGGAAGAAATCAAACTTCAGGCCAAGACGACTGACAGAGCCTGACAAGTGACAGCGATGTCATCCGCATCTGCATGACAATACAATGACAACAAAGAGCATTGATGAGGCCCTTCCTAGATCGAGGAAGGGCCAGGGAGGAAGAAAACTCGAGTAGAATGATTTTTTTTTAATTACTTGATATGCTGATAGTAATTATATGACAAATAGAAAACAAAATAATCGGTCATGTAATAAGGCTAATGATGGAACAAAACCCAGGTATCGAAACAACCGTCATTCAGGAGAAAGCTAGACCACTTTAATTGGGAATGAATATCAGCCCGAGATTAAATTGGGAACGATCGTATTAGACCCAAAGCAGGCTTAGTTGGCCAATAAAGTGCAGCAAATCAAGCTGCCTCCATCAACTGTCCAGATTTAGCCGCCTTTATCTGATGATGCTTTGTTTGTCAGACCAATAGAGGTCACCAAAGATCGATCCGAGCAAACAGATGGCCAGCCATCGGTCCCCGTGCACTTCAGCTTACGCAAGAACAGCGCTGCCAGCTCCAAATCAAATGCTTTAGAATGCTCATAGGTTCAGACCAAGCTGCTTCATTTGCATTTTGTTTTGAGGAAGGATCCCAGTTGGAAACTCCCAACAACTTTACGTGCGCTTTGTCGATTATGGAACTTGGGAAACCTTTCCTCAACACACCTTCGGGAGCAATTCCACCGCGATCGGCGTTCCTCTCACAGCTATGTAAGAAACCTCACCGCAAAGGCCACCATCTTTACCAGATAATCGATGCTTACGAGTAAATGCGATAAAGGAGATAGCTCATCATTTCGAGTCATCACTAATGTATAAGCACATGTTAGAGTATATGTAGTACAGTGAGCTCCACAGCTAACCATTTAGCTCGCAAGAAACCTAAATAATGAAATTGTGGTCCGTTTCAATCTTTTGAATGACTATGGCAAGTTAGATTGATTGAATGACCCTCCGCGATAAGCTTCCATCTGAATAATTGAATACTATTGTGAGAGCTCAGACTACGACATGACTTCAGCAGCGCATCTCACTCACAGCTCATCTCAATGACCAGTTTGCTGATGACGGGAGAGCTGATGTTGTTATTTGCCGCCGAGCAGACCAGACTCGAGTGCAGGTCGTCCCGGCCCAGAGGCGGCAGTCGCAGCACGTTAGTCACCTGACCCGACCCCTGGTCACCGCTGTCCGTGTCGTCCAATAGGCGGCCGTCTCGGAACCACGTGACGCGCGGCGGCGGCCGGCCTGCGGGTCAGAGCAGAGTCACGTGATATTTGTCAGAAGTGATGCTGTTGCAATGTTGTGATGATTAGGAATAACGTTGTGCATGGGCAAACACACAAAAGAGGCGAAAAAGCGGTCGACTCTGTAAAACCGCCGTTTTGTAACAGGATAACAGACATGAAGAATTCACTGCGTGATAAGAGGCAGAGTGCCATATAGGCACTAGTATTACGGTACATGGTGAGCGCATAGTGACAATAAGAGAATAGAACATACGTGAGGGTATGGACTTTTGAGCTCCTACCCCTCGATAGGTACACCCGAAGGCGGGCATCACATTCACAACTCCTCAGCAGCTCAATATCTGGCAATACGAGCGGATGCATACGAGTCTGCTTCACTTCAGGAGCCTAAAAACACAGCTGTGTGCTTCACTGTGACCACGCTGTTCCCTCATGATCGTTCTCCTGCTCTGTAGTCAAGCCCGGCACAGCAACCCAGGCCAGCCGAGCGTGAGCTGATCCTCCTCTATCCAGGGATCAAGGCTGGCATGTCGATCACTGTATCCCTCGTCCGAGTCGGTGCGACAGCGACATTGTTGGCCGAGCGACCAGCAAACTGAGCGGAGTGTGCCCTTAGCTGACAGAGCGCCGCTGACTTCCTGATACAGGAAAACATCTAGTACTTACGCCAACTTTATCAGCCAGTTTGGCAGACGACCCATTCGACACTGACCACAAACTGCACAGAAATCGCCTGATGGCCGGCCGCGGAAACAGCTTATTAGTGTGTAGCATGGAAGTCGAATAGCGATTGCAGCCATCACGTGTTTTATTCAGTTCTGCCTACCGATGAAACGAACGGCATTGACTTTTAAAGGCAGCCATTACAGCCACAGTTTAGAGCCGTTTAAACGCATTGAAAAACATTGTCGGGCATTGGCAATGATAAATGACTGGCCTGGCATCATATGTGATGGAATTTATCTCCGCCCATCTTTCGTATCCGTCCTGTCTTTACCTATGTCTACCTCCGTCAAGTTTGGCAGTCTCCCTTTCTATCTATACGACAGTCTCTCGGTCATGCCGGCATATCGCTGTCGATGGTCTCCGTCGTAACCAACTCTCGGTCTCTGTCTCCGTTGCCGTCTCCGTATCTCCACTGCAGGGTCTCCGCTGCTGTCTCCGTGTCTCTGCCACGGTATATCAGTGGTCGATGGTCTCATTCACCGTCACTCGGTCTCTGTCACCGTCTCTCGGTCTCCGTCACCGTCTCTCGGTCTCTGTCTCCGTCTTTCAGCCTCTGTCTCCGGTACCGTCTTCGTGTCTCCGCTGATGTCCCTGAGTCTCCATCTCGGTATATCGGCTGTTGGTGGTCTCCGTCTCCGTCTCCGTTTCCCTTTTACCGTCTCCGCGTCTCCATCTCGATACATCTCCAGCTGGTGGTCCGTTACCATCTCCGTGTCTCCTCTATCGTCTCCGCGTCTCCATCGCGATACATCTCCGGTCGGTGGTCGATCAGCCGTGAGAGGTGCGCAGCCGACCGGTCACCGTCACCTCACCCGAACAGAGAACCCGTGAGAACCGTACCTGCTGGTCGCCCTGTGTCAGAGCGCGACCCGAAAGACGACACGACGACGACGACACTGGGACGAAATGTGACGTGCAGGCCGCAACGCGCTGCGCAGGGCCGTGCGCCGAACGGGAGCAGTGTTAGTGAGGTTTCAATAGCTGCAGAGGCATTCATGGCAGCCAGACTAGCAGGTCTGTGTATGTGTATGTCTCTGAGAAAACTTACGATTGGAAAAATAAGCATACAAGTTACGTCGTAAAAAAGTTCCGGGATCGTGGCAGGCATAAGCAATGTTGTTGTTTGTATGTGTAATTGTGGATTGCAATGTTTAGTCGATGGCTATGACTGGGAATCTGGTAGAGACAAGTGTTATGACTACGGGACGAATGTGCGTGCGCCGTGCAGTGACAGTTGGGATGCAATGCGCTGCAGTGTCCGAGGCAGTGGTGGTGCAGTTTCTGCGGCCGGGGACTGGCCAGGCTGTCAGCTGTGACTGTGACCGTGCAGTGCAAACTGCAGTGACAGTACCAAGGGATCAGATCAGTAACAGTGGCGGGCACTGGGCTGGCCAGTTCGCTGAGACACGCCGACGCCCTTGACAGCTCGCGGGCCGTCACCGGAGCCGGCCGGCTCTCCCCCGGCGCCAGTCACTCAGACAAATTGGCCTCGCTCGAGCGGCGTCTGGCACCGTTGCAGGCTGCCCGGCTACACCCAACCGGCAACACGGGTCTGGCAATTTTCGGCCGGTCGAGCGCGCCTGGGAAACCTCATCGGCCCAGAATGGCCCGATACAGCTGCGATAAAATGACCTCTCGTCTAGTCTCGTCTCATCTTGTCGGGAACCAACAGAGCGTCCGATAATGGCGCTCTTATGGTGATCTTATTTAATGAACACCTGACACCAGACGGGGAGTCCCGGGGACTGAACGACTCACCTCCCCGTGACCTGCAGGTGACCTCCAGAGGCTGGCCTTCCTGCAGAGGTCCGATAATCCCTGACACGGTCTGGCCATCGTGTATAAACTCTGGCTCGCCCGGTGGAACTGTCGAACAACACAGACATGACAGGTTAATGAGCATGTCAGTTGCATTCAATTATTCAAAAGTTTCAAAACATATTCCAGGACCTGTGACGTGTTTAACAATAATAACGCTTTTCCAGAGCAATGCTTCACTTGACATAAATATGAAACTCTGTTTTTTTATAGCGATATTGCAAGATAAGCTAGCGCGGTGGTCAATGGAACCTAATACATTTCTGTATCAGCCTGTACCCACAGACCATGATAATCTGGCACACAATGAACCATTACCCAACAATGCTGCCGATCACGTGAGGAGCCCGTATTCACTGATGAAGGAAATATATGTACAACGGATTGCCTCTGAAGTTGAACTCACTGATAACAGAGAGGCGCAGCCGGTGGTTGCGTGTTGGGCTGAAGCGGAAGTCGACTCGACACCGGTACCTCCCGGCATCCTGTCGCCGGACGGTGGCCAGCCGCAGCACCGCCGGCCGCGTGCCGTGTATGAACGTGGCGCGAACGACCGTGCCCCGGTCACCGATCTCAGAACGCTCCGAGAACGATCGATCGTTTCGACCGTCAAAACTGCCACAGCGGATGGGAGGGGTTAAGTATAGTTAGTAGCTCTATGAAGCGAATATTCACGTGAAATGATGGCCTAGCCGAGTTGTCATTAGTGAGATAGTGACAAATGACAATATTGATTGGTGTCGAAAAACTCGTTCCACCTGTTACCTGTATGTCGGGATTCCCTCATCGTCTCGGTACCAGAGCACCAGCACGGCGCTGTCGTCTGGGTACGTAGACGTGATGTTGCACGGAAGGTCCACGCTGCGGTCCTCGACCCCAACCACCTCTGTCACGTGACCTGGAAGCAGCAAAAACAACAGCGTTGTTGGTCACACAGTCGCACTTTGTGAGCAAAGTCCCATGCATCACATGGCTAAAATTTAATCTTGAGCATTATCCGACAATTCCTTCAACATGCAAATGAGGGCAGGGCACTCTTATCCCTCGCCCATGTAGGGGGGGGGTTGGTGCAACCCCCCCCCCCTGAGGGTTTTCGGAAATAGTGCAAAAACGGCGGCGCGCAGCGCCGCCAAATTTTGGGTACCTTATGGGGCAAACCTTGCGCATCTTTTGATAAAAAAAATTTGACCGGGTCATGTCAGGTCACGGAGTTATGACGTCACAAAGGGAACAGCCTCCGGCCGGATTTTCACAAACTGAGTGCCAACGCCCGAGGTTTCCTGCCGGTGGTACGGAGATCGGTTGATGGATCGTGACGAAACTTCCCATACATGTTGGGGCAAGTATTGGCTATCATATGGTATAAGAAACTTGACCGGGTCAGGTCAGGTCACGGAGCTATGACGTCACAAGAGGAACAGCGTCCGGTACTATTTTTGAAAAGCGCCCGAACCACTATTTTGCTAATTCTTGTCACCTCAATGGGAATATGCAGCAATATTAGCTTCTATAGGGAGCAAATGGACCTCCCAAATCCAAAAATACAATCAGATTTCAAAAATTTAAATTTTGATTTTTCGAATTTCTGCCGCCGACTGTGACCTTGCCGACTTCCGGCGCTCCCAACGCGCCATTTTTAGAGCTAGGGAAACGAAATACAAACCAAACGATAGAGAATTGATCAAGGAACACGATAGTGAAAGTTTCAAGCCGATATCTCTCACCGTTTTGCCGCAATCGCCGCCGAAAGTTGAAAAAAGTATATTTTTCCGAAAATTTGACCTTTGACCGGTCAAAAGTAGGTCAAATGTTGACCTAGGACCAAAAAATATACCACCAATCGCGAGATCTCGGCGAGAGCAATCCGTTGGTCTTTTCCGCTAAGCTCTACGACGCTCCGTTTTCAAACGCCAAGGGGGGGTCGCACCAACCCCCCCCCCCTGCATGGGCGAAGGTGGCAGATCGCCGTTTACGGGCGAGGGTTATAAGCACAATGAGTCGGTATGTCCTTGCCCTATATTTGTTATTGAGTCATATGCTGTCAACATGAGACGGCTCACTGCAATGCTTCAAAGACAGTTGGTAGCGTTCTTAACAAAAAAATAAGGCATGCCTGATTCTGAAGTGCTCTTATGAGACACGTGTTAAAAAAACGTTTTAAATCTTTTATAACAATTTCCTTCTAAATCTTCCATGTATTTTTGTCGATTCAATGAGCGAACACGCACTAACTGGCAATTCACAGAATCCGAGCCGACAGCACAGTCATAAAAATGATATGTGATGGGCTTACTACTCATAAGCTGCTGTAAAAAGCATTAGATCCACCACACATAACCAAGCAAGGACGAGTCAATGAACTAAGCACTGTGTGGAACTGTCTTGTAAAACGCATTTTGTTCCTTTGTCTCTTACAACAGTTTCGCTTAGCAATACTAATTGATGCCTCAAGCACATAAATCATTGCAAGCCATGAGGATTGTGCGGCAAAGGCAGAGATATTTCCCCAGAAGCGCCTACTCCCACCCGACGCTCAGAGTCGGACGGCGCCGGCGGGGTAGACTGTGCCGCAGTGGCTCGGTGAAATGCGGCACAGTCTACCCGGCCAGGGCTGCCGCACCGAGATTACGGCAGAAGCCGAGCCGTCCGCCCAGTCGTGCCAACTGTCGATAGACTTGAGACAATGCATGTGAATATATTCCCGCTTCCAGCATTAACAATCACTCTAGAAACCAATATGGGCTTTCGGTATCCGACTTGCCTGTCAGGCCCATGACAGCTCCGGCGGGCAAGTCGTGGCTTTAATACTGCAACAGCATTCATTATTCACCGCGCCAAACTGACTGTCATTCTGTGGAAAGTGCGCCTTTAGAGTCTCTGAAGATAACTATAGCGCCAACTTTATCGAACTTTGAGCCCTGGGGTCATGTCAATCGGCTGCCATCAATCAGGCCCCGCCCTCCATTTCCGGCCTTTCTGGCGGCCGAGCCATGGGGCCGCGACCAATACCGCCATCACAAGATTTGATCGGAGTTCAGGGCACTAGCGCCACGTGACAGTAATGTGTGAAAACGTGAGGACAAAAACGTTTCTGGTGTTTTGGCGGTTACAGGCAAACAGCCCTGTCAGCGGGTAATGGAACGTTATCAGCAGTGTGAACTATGACGGGCTGGACAGTGGACGCTACCACTGCGCCGCTCGCTGCGGTCCTGGGCGCAGACTGAGTGGGCTGAGCGGTGGGACGGGGTGACTGAGCCCCGGCCAGCCACGAGCCCACACAGGGTGTCAGAGCGGACGGCCGGATATCGCCTGACGCCCACATCTCCCCCGGCGTCCCAGAAGGCCGAACTTCCGAGCTGCCGGTACCTGCAGGGACCGCCGCGCTGTCCGCTCAACCAAGTTCGCCCCGTGCAATCAATGGGTGTCACTGTGATGCGTCGCTGAGAGGCGGGCAGTGTTCGGCTCCTGGAAGCGAGCCCGTATAGAAACTCATTCAAGCGAGGGTTTGGTAGTCCCGGTTGGCTACCCGGTCAACGCTCGTCTGAGTGAGCACGTGGGGACACGACCCGGTCCCAAACGCCGGAGGTCAATGGATTATAAATGAAGTTCAGAAGGCAATACTCTTGAAGGTAATGTGCCTGAAATTAATTGATTTCGTACTGTACACGGACCTTCATCCCTTTGAAACAATCTTTTTTTCAAATTATAATTGCCTTATGCATTGGAACTGCAAAACACGTGCCTAACTACAAAATAAGAAATTTGGTACTTAACACGACATGGACCTTTGTGGAACTTTTCGGGCGTACTTTTGTTCGGAATGCATCAATCGACGATAAAGCCCTAGTCTACTCATTGAAAATGTGAATAGGTCAGCACAGCCGATGCCTGTGCTGTAACGGAGGGTATAGAGCATTGCATGCCGTTGAGTGGTGTTAATTTGACCTGGTTAACAGGACCCCGTGCACGGCCACGTGGCCATAGGTTGTGAGTACGTACATTAATTTTGTTGTGATGCTACAAGTTTATGCATTTTGTTGGTGACTTTGAAAAAGCCTTGCACTGTAGTGATCCAGTCTCATTATCTCACGCAGACTGGCGACCACCCAGGAACGCCGTCGCTCTCTTCAAATATTGTGCGCTGTGCCTTATCCAATATGAGGGCGCTGAATGTCTTGTATTCACATTCAAAGTGCATTCAAGTTGTATCGTGGTGTTTATTTACCGCTTGTGCATTGCTGAACGCTTCGTATAAATTCGTATGCATAAGTGGAGAGTCTCACAATGTTCATTGCTGGTGTGCCCCTCGCATTGTTTGTACGGAAGCCAAATATACATTGTTGCTCTTGAAGCATGTTTTTTTAGTTGGTGAGCTCCGGTTAACAGAAGCTTCGTGAAGCTTCTGAAGCAAGCGTCTGTGAGTCTGTTACCATCCTCTGGGGGGTTTACACTAAAGGAAAGAGTAAACATTACCATGTGACAAAGGGTAGGCCAGAAGAATATACTCTCTGTAGGAGGGTAAAGCACAGAGTAGATGATGCGTTACTCCCTAGAAAGGGGTTCCGTTTAAGATTTACCCTTTCAAAGAGTGTAACCCAAAAAATGTTACACTCTGGACAAGAGTAAATCAAAAGAGTTTACCATTCAGAAGATGGTAAAAAACGTCTGTGTGTCATGTTACCCCTCCCTGGCGAGTTTACTCTTCATGAAAGAGTAAAATTTACCATCTGGAAGGTGGTAAAAAACTTCTGTGTGTCAAGCTACCATGCTATGGCGGGTTTACCCTTCAGGAAATGGTAAAAAAGTTTTCAAAGTAACTTCAATTCACTCCAGTGCTTTTTGTGAAATCAAGCTTGCAGAAGATACGCTGGATTCTTGTGCGAATGCTAACAGGCTCCGGGACTGAGCACTGAGCACTCAGCAGAGCGTATAGACAAAATGTGTTGCAACGTTTTATTCCAACAGTTATCCAACCACGATGTGAATACTGCCTAGTGTCTACTGTGTCTAGTGAAGCATGTGTTGATTTTGTCATGTCATTTTAATAAAAGGTGGGTAACTGGGTAATAATTTCATTTCTCTAAAACGGAATGGGAAGTATTGCTGCGGTGCCCAAAATTACATATGTATTCCTAAGATTTAAAAACATTTAGCCAAGATATTCTTATTTGAATTGCATTCCGATGGGGCTTAAAAATTTTGGCGTGACTCCGTTGACTTTTACACCGATACAGCCGAGGGATGACACTGATCGCTTTTATCAGTGAGACGCGATTCCCAGCAGCTGTGCTGTGTACTCTGTCTGCTCAGTCTGTCTTGTCTGGCGCAAACTGCCCTGTCTGACGGTCTGGCGTTGTCTGCTCTGACTGTCCTCTCTGCCCTGTCTGGCTGTCTGGTGGTCCGTCCTGTCCACCACTCTGCCACCTGCACTCGACAGGGCCGTCGTGGCCAATTATCGCCGGCTAGCAGCCAGGGTGTCAGGCAGGCGCGGATACAAGGGGGGGCCATGGGGGCCATGGCCCCCCCCTTGGCCGATTTTTTTTCAAAAATAAAATAAAAAGTTAAAAAGTTAAAAAGCTGAAAAGGGGGCCTCCTGAAAATAAAGTGGCCGAAATCCGATGAGTTTTTTTTAACCTACCCACTTAGTTATTTCTTAGAAGACTAGCTGAGAAGACTTCTTTGTTAGAAGATTGGTAAAGCTTTTCATAACTTGGAGGTCTCTTATACTCACAGAGATGACCACTTTTACAGGGCCTCCTAACCTGCACAGAGGGCCTCCAAGCCTGCACAGATGTTGAGATGTTGCCTGAACAGCTAGATAAGCTCAATAGACGCAGTTTTTTTTGGGGGGGGGCCCAACAAGTGGGAAGATGGGGCCTCCAACAGGTGGGATTATGG